GTATGCATATATGTATGCATATACGTATGTAGATACGTATGTATGCACAGGGGGATATGCATTCAATTTGTATCTATATGAAATAAGGCTAACATAGTCAAAATTATTCATCCCTCTCCTTATTGTGCTGGAAAGTGCATGTAGAGATGACCTAAAGGAGAAGAATTTGTCAACACCTCAAGAGGAGGAATAAACATATCTTGTAATGTCATAATACTTAATTATCTCCCTTTTCACATGACTAATAAAGGGTACAGTTGAATTCCTGCTGTGTCTAAAGATAACTTGCTTCACAACAAGTATTTTGGCATAATTGGATTATTATTTTTTCCTTTAATTCCAAGTAAAACATTATGTTTTGTGAAATATAACGGAATATTCAAGCCAGTTAAGAGCCATGACTGGAGGTTTTTCCAGATATCTTGAACAATTTCACAGTCCCAAACTAGATGAGTAATTGATTCAATGTAATGTTTACAGAAACTGCAAATAGGAGAGTCTATGAACTTGATCTTAAACAAAAACTGTTTTGTAGGTAGAATATTATGAATAAGTCTGTATTGTAACCATCTTTGAGCAGTGCTATAGTGCACTTCCATGGGATAATATTAAATATTTCCCACTCCTTTGGTAGGAGATTTAGACTCAAGCCATCCCAGTTTCTATTATAGTGTTCTGTTTTAAATTTAGAACATAGGAGTGTTTCATAAAAAAAATATTTGCTACCCTTTTCACTGAATTTTAGTTTGGACAAATTAAAAGGGTTATGTCGGTTTAATGCTCAGAGATGAAAAATCTGAAATATTTACCTTTAACATATGTGTAATAATTGCTTGTTTGACCCCTTCAAAGGTCAGGGAATTTGTTCTGAGTTTATATAGATCTATAAAGTCATCAAAGGATAGAAATTTCCCTTCTGCTGTCAACATGTCAGATATAAACATAACTCCCTTCTTGTACCAATATAATATTTATACAGGCTAGGTTTGTTATCAACCAATATGTCATCATTACACCAGATAGACTGTGACTGGATTTCAAATTCACTTGTAATAGTATCTTTTTGCTTAGATGTGAACCAAGCCCAAGCAAGTAACACATCCTTCCAAAACTGATTGGTTAAGGTTGGAGTAACAACATTTTTAATATAATTGTCTCCGCAATTGTCTCTTTGATGTTTGGCACCTTTAAACCACCATGTTTAGGGAGAGATGTAACAATGTCCCTTTTAACTTTGTCTGGTTTTCCTTTCCAAATAAATCTAAAACACAGCTTTTGAAGCTTATCTAAGACATGATCTGGAGGATTTGGGAGTGAAGCAAATAGGTGATTTAATTTTGGAAGCAGGAGTGATTTCAAAAGTGTGTTTCTTCCAAAGGGAGTGAGTGTTCGTGCTGACCAGGGCTTCATTTCTTTCGTAATTTGAGAGAATTTATCAGAATAATTTTTTTCAACCATACTTTCTAAATATATGTCAAAATGAATACCTAAAAGTGTAAATTCAGTATGAGACCAGTCAAAATTCCAGTCTTTGCATAATTTAGTCTTGATCTATTCTTTGATTCTATCCAAATTAGCTTTGTTTTCAATATAATTTTTTAGCCCAGAGTTCTTGCAAAAAATTGTAATGTATTTAAAGCAGCATAAAGACATCTTTCAGAACCATCCAGTGTCATCGTCGTATCATCAGCAAATTATGACATAATGTATTCAATATTATCAATTTTATTCCTCTTATATACTTATTACTTTTTATCATGAAGGCCAAAATTTCTACACAAACCAAAAATATATCAGGCGATAGAGGATCCCCTTGACGACAGCCCCGGCTTATTTTAAAGAAGGGTGATGCAAAGCTATTAACCAATACACTAGATTCAATATCATGATAGAAAAGGTTTACCCATTGAATCAAATCTGGTCCAAAGTGACAGAAATCTCTATCTTAGACATACCACAAGTCCGATGGCGATTAAAAGATAGGTGTGATTGTCACGGAAGTATATATCAACGATGACTTAGTTTTGTAAGCGCATCATGGTGGACTGGTAAGTGTCTCTAGCAGGTAGACGGGTGATTATTAGTTTGTATACGGTATAGATTGTGCAGACCAGGTAGATGATGAGTAGAAGTAGCAGATCGGTGGTCAGACTCGGTACCTGGGGTCTGGTTTTTCAGTTGTTTAGAGCAATTTTAGGAAACGTGTTTGGAAACCGAAATGCATTGGGCGCTCGTATGTTTCGTGAAAACTGGGCCACGCGGAAATGGACACACTATAACTCATGGTACCGATGTTCTGCCACCAAACAACGAATATCTCACTACTCTCAGTAACCTGACGTGTCGACTGGAAGAGAGTCGGGGACATGTTGTGTTTGATTGTTGTTTAACGCTGCACTCAGCAATATCCCAGCTGTAAGGTGGGGACATGTGACATCTCCAACCATCACGAACACACCAAGACGCTCAGCAGTCCAAAGGCCTGGACTCATCTATCAACGGAGTATACCTGTAATTAACTGAAGAATGACAATAATACGTGTGTTTGTTCTCTGTGTATAAACGGAGGGGTGGCTCTGTGCACTTGGAGGCTTCAAACACACAGGTGCTGCCTAGTTAGTGTAAGCAGGTATCTCCGACGTTATTCCGAGGTGACTTCAAGCAAAACACCTTGTGTGACTATCAGCAAGGTGGTGCTTACAAAACCAATCCCATAAATCTTTCATATAGAACTTAGTTTTAGTTGCAATGTACATGTGACATATATTCATACTTGCTCATTAGGCACAAATCCGTCTGTCAATGAATAAAATCATCGTTTGAGCATGTGCAGGAATCGGGTTGGTTGTGAAATGTTCAATTGGATTCGAAATCTGAACTTGTCTGTGAATATATCTCTTGCTGAAGACACAAAACTCTAAACAAGGTCAAATGTGAAACACTTATTACTATTTTCCTGAGACAGCCAAAGCGAGGACTATGTGTCACTACTACTTCAGATCTCTCGATGGACCTCAGACTAGTACTATTGGGCAGGAGCACCACATGAATCCTTCACATGTTGGAGTCAGTTTGTCATCCGTGACTCACTCGGTAAATACAGAGACCAGATTATATGTTCTGTAGTAAATAGGAAACATAGAACGATTTTTACTTTAAAAACTCTGCTTTATTAGGACTGTACATGTGCACGTGACATCAAGTTAGCGGGACGTCTCAGTTGTCAAAGTTGCACGTCCAGATGCTGTCATCCCAGACGAGGCCTTTGGGACACTTCATGAGGTAAGCAATGTAGTTCCCACACTGGTAGTACCGACCTCTGTTGGTAGGATGGGGGAAGAACTTCACTCGTCTGTTTGGGCAATAACCTGTAACACAAAACACGTACTTCACACATTGGTCATTACAACAGCAAGAACTTACTGTTCACTGTCCACTGGCTTCTTAGTGACAGCAACTTGTCAACAGGAACCTCACCTCCACATCCTTGTGGGTTACAGTTGGTTACTCGTTTCTCCACACTCTCTCCTTCACAGTCAGCACCGCCATTCTGAGGTTCTGGGTTGTCACATGACCTCTTTCTCGACTGCCTGATCTTGCCCCCTCCACAATATGCTGAGCACTCCTCGCCGTCGTTGGAGGTCCATCTACCCCAAGGAGACCATCCTCCATCCACTGAGAAGCAAGCACAGAAACAGGGGATATGTACTATCAACCTTTCACTACTGTGATTTATGTACAGCATACGAGGGTCATTTAAAAAGTAGTCAACCTAACTCTATTCTCGATGTCCAATGTTTGAAAAGCTTCCATTTTATTTAATGGAATCATTAGCAATGTCATATCCAAAATTTCACATATGTTTATAATGTGGTTAACGAGATATTAGTCATCACAACACATTGGGGTATATTTCTTTACACAATTGCAGAAAATGAAAAACGTCATATGTCATTTCGTACCCCATGGATAATGGTATGCCCTCAGATAATGTCATATAAAATATGTTCAGTATAGTATTGGATGACTACCCGTCATAATCAACATGCAAAGATTTGAATTGCTTGATATATATTTAGACAGGGGACTTTTTTTGAAGGACACCCCCATTTTAATCGTTCCAAAAGATTGTGTCTAGATATTCAGGCTGGCACTGTTTACAATATATTGAGAGCTGACTCTTGTGAGACCATGTGGTATTTAGTTGGAACCCTTGGCATCATGTATGAATAAGTATAAACATTATAAACAACAATTTATGTCCTTATGATTACGTCATCTGAAACGGGTGCGGGTAATGTCTCCTAAACAAGCTTTTCAGTCAACATGAAGGGGAGTCACTTTAACAAGCAATTGTAGTTTCAAATTGCTTTTTTATGCACTTTAATATCTAAGTTTGATTCTAGCGAAGTCGCCTATCTCAAACACACAAAATGTTTCCTGCATATTTTGTTTCCTGAAGTTTGTGATACATATATTGCAAATTTTGCGTTTTGGGGGGATACCAAGATTTAAAAAAATGGGATGTTATGACTGGATCATAGCAAAATCAATTTGCTTGAGGTTGACAGATAATATGTCGAAAAATAAAACATAAAAACAGCTGCATTTGTATCTTTTTCTAGGTGAGGCTGACTACTTTTTGAACGCCCCTCGTATATTACCTCGCAACATGTATCACTATTCCAGACAAGCACTATTTCACCTGCAGGTACAACGTGTCTCCTCATATGACACAACACCTGTTACACATGAAGCCTCACAGATATACCGTGGTGGACATCGTATTGGCTATGAACTGAGTTGTGGTGTCGACACTATGATGGGAATGTGAACACCCGGTGTTTAACGGTGATCTCACCTGAACAGCTGTTGGTGTTACAGGCCTGTGTGTACTCCTCCTTCCCCCCGTTGATGGGCCTACAGATCCGACCGCCCTCGCACTTCCTCGTCCTCACCACAGTCTGGGAGCCTCCCCCACAGCTGACACTGCACTCCCCACACGCTCGCTCCACGTGGACCATTTGCCCCACACTGCGAATATCAGGTCTCCCCGGTAACAACTCATTTGTTATCATACTCAGAGAGTTACTGCTTGTTTGGTTTTATAGAAGTTATGAATATATCATGAAAGAAGAGGGATAAGTTATAATGCTTCATTTAATGTGCTTCTGAAATGTTGATAGCAAAGGAATTATCTGGGATCTAAGAAGTACAGAAGTAATTATATTAACCATGATTAATATTAAACTATTGGCACAATACATAGATTTACATATGGTTTATTGTGTGGAACAGTTCTATGAGTAAAGGCACTGAAAATTGAACATACCGAACTGTGGGTCAGGCGAGATTCTGAAAATGGCGAAATTGAAAACCAACAATGTTGCAGCAAATGAAACAAGGTCATGGAAGTGATGCAATAGAAGTTTTCTTGTAACGTAGTGGACGGATTCCTGTCTTCACACACTAAGGTTGGAGGAAGTAAGATTTGTGGCCGCTCTCCGTAATGATAACAATATACGTATTTGATAGATAGAGACAGTAGAATTGTCGTATTTGTTTTGTTCCCAGTTGGACAAGCAGACTCCACTAGCATGAACAACTTGTATTTCAATATGTTGTATTGGGGTATTGACATATTATACACACTGATTACTGACACAATTCCCTTCTATTCATGGCTTGGACTGCAGCCCTGATCAGATGTACCGTGAGTGTCAGTGACAGAACAGGAACCCCAGGGTGTGACCCCAACATGCATACGTCAGTCAGTCATCAGTCACAGTGTTCACCATGATCCCGAACTTGCAACCACGATATATAGTTACAGCAAGTAACTAGCTACCCATGAAGATCAGCGTAGAAATTGATCTTCAGCAACCCGTGATTATCGTAAGAGGCGACTGCTACTGAGCGCCGTCACATAACTGGAGTGAGTGAGTGAGTGAGTTGGGTTTTACGTCGCTTTTAGCAATATTCCAGCAATATCACGACGGGGAACACCAGAAATGGGCTTCACACATTGTGCCGATGTGGGGAATCGAACCCGGGTCTTCGGCGTGACGAGCCAACGCTTTAACCATTAGGCTACTCCACCGCACCCACATAACTGGAATATTGCTGGGTGCGGCGTTAAACAAACAAGCAAACAATGCCCTGGAGTTGGACCATATCGTTCTGTGAAGGTTGCTTAAATCTATAGCAACACGTCCTACAACATTACACACTCGGTCTTTGTAAAGATTTGTAAATATGGTGCTGAAGCATTCAGTATAACATGATTGGCGGTCGCTACTTACGTTGACCCAGAGACGACGCCAAGGACGGCAACGGCTACCACAGCAACACACAGCATCTGCATTGTGAACAGTTGTCGACAGTTGTGCCAGTCCACTAACCTGTGCTGTCTTTTATAGGAAATTCATCCAGACTTTTAACTTCATAATGTGCTTCTGTCGTAGTTTGACACTCAGAAACTTGTTTACAGAACGTTTTGAAACGAAAATAGGCGCATTGGAGATTAATTTTAATTAATTTCGTCAAGATTGTCGTACTTCGTGACCCACCGCTCAACACGCAGCTTGTCGATCACTGTCCGGGGGTTCTGTGGGAACGATCAGGGGGTGATGTCATACTCGATTAAGTCATGTCTGATTTATAGTTTTGTACCAGGGAAAGGACTGAAGTGAGCATATCGTTTTGTTTGAATAATCACAAAAATGCTCTCCAATAATATTTATGAATTAAAAAGAAACAAATGTGCGTATGTTCAAAGTGTCATCTGGGGCGTATATTGTTTGGTTTTGAATAATCATATTTAACTTGGTCTTGAGAATTAATCAGCACAGTTTTTGAGAATATTATTGATTGCAATAATTATATCCTGACCTATCGACTGACAAATCGACCAAAGGTCTAACCGCAAAAAGCCCTTTTACTGGATAGATTCATCTATTTCACTGTTATGTATCAAATGTACCCGTCACAATACTACCTGCTCGACATTCACAACATATGAAGTTATATTTATTCACCTTACTGATGCAGGTCCTGACAGTATGTATATGCAAGCCAGTGTAAAGAAAATCATTTGAGTAATGTATGTTGTTTTCAGTGTAGTTTTCCTGAACATGTTTAACATTACTAACCAGCAAAAGTGGTGTTGCAGGTGCTGAAAATAATTAAAGTGTTTATTTTAAGAAACGTTCTTCCTTTGTTCTTTGTTAATGTTGAAAGTGGGTGTTTAATTTTGGTTTGAGAAGGTAAGTTACAGGTGTACAGTATATGCTGTGTGTTATGGTACTATAGTGAAAATCATGGCAGCTTCTTGCTGCCGGCAGATTACCGTACCTACCCGGTGGTCCTGTATGTACAGTGCGGTACTGTACAAACGGTACAACCACTTTTTAATTCGGTAATCTGCTGGCAACCAGCTGCCAGGCATTATACCGTAACAAAATCAGGTAAAATTTTTACAGTGTGGAGTGAAATAAAGAATTGTAACCGACACGTGACTCCAGCCTGTTTAACTGAACACATATTTACAGAATCTCACATCTTCACAAACCCATGCTCGTTCTTCACCACACCCCATCAAGTTAATACAGTTCAAAGAGTTCTGTCCATGCGTTTCAAACAAAGAGGATGTTCTAAACAGAGGATGATCTCTACAATTAGAATGATAATCATATGTCAAGGGTAGAATGGACCCGTGTAAGGCTACATGCTTTTCAATATGTGGGGTTGGAATAATTTTTCTTCTAGAAACTTGCTATGGGTCGACATATCATTGACCACAGGGTTATATCAACGAGAATGCCGATTCATCTAAATTATTTAATACATATACGATATACATTGCGCTATGTTTAACACAGTGGCATTGAGATTGAGCCGCGTGTGTGATCTACCATATGTTAAACCGTTACATGTGTTTATGTAGACCAGTAGGTCAAGGTAGTCTGTGTAATTCGTCAACATATTCAGCTGCAGCTGTACATATCTCCGTGTCTATCCCTCCCCGCTGCCAAGTCAGGTATGTTACCACCTGTAGATGACAGATATCAGTTATGTAATGTACAGTAACATGTGTGGAAGTATGTGGTGTTAGTTGTATTACATATGCTCAACTGTTTCATAATTTCTCTTTTTATAGCACACAATTTTAGTGGAGTTCTCTGAAATAGCAATGCCCCTAAAAGGTGAGATTTTATTATTTCAAACGATCATTTCGTTATCCCTGTATTTCAAACGACATATTTAGAATATTCTTTGGGTGCCTGATTAGACGTTATTCTATTTATGAATGTATGTCTGAGCTGGATCTACTCATCTTCTGTATGTCTGAGCCGGATCTACTCACCCAATAAAAAAATAATATTGATAACAATTTCGGCCTTAATCCAACGCGATGCTGTTCTCTGGCGTTACATTATCCCACCATGACGGAATTGTATCTATTCACCGTCCGTATGTCTAAGCTGGACCTACTCACCTCCGTACATCCGCTTCTGGATCTACCCATTTTCCGTATGTCTGGCTGGACTGACTGCAATGTGGACGAAGTGCCTCTGCCTCAGGGACACGTATGTCTGAGCTGGACCTATTCACCGTCCGTGAAGTCTCCAGCTGGATCTACTCACCTCATGTATGTCTTGGCGTGAGAGGCCACCGTGCGTATGTCTGAGCTGGATCTACTCATCATGTATGTCTGAGCTGGATCTATTCACTTCATGTATGTCTGAGCTGGATCTACTCACCTTCTGTATGTCTGAGCTGGATCTACTCACCTCATGTATGTCTGAGCTGGATCTACTCACCTTCATGTATGTCTGAGCTGGATCTACTCACCTCATGTATGTCTGAGCTGGATCTACTCATCTCATGCATGTCTGAGCTGGATCTACTCACATCATGCATGTCTGAGCTGGATCTACTCATCTTCTGTATGTCTGAGCTGGATCTACTCACCTCATGTATGTCTGAGCTGGATCTACTCACCTCATGTATGTCTGAGCTGGATCTACTCACCTCATGTATGTCTGAGCTGGATCTACTCACCTCTTGTATGTCTGAGCTGGATCTACTCACGTCATGTATGTCTGAGCTGGATCTACTCACCTCATGTATGTCTGAGCTGGATCTACTCACCTCATCTGTGTCCGAGCTGGATCTATTCACCGGCTGTATGTCTGAGCTGGATCAACTCACCTCATGTACGTCTGAGCTGGATCTACTCACCTCATCTATGTCTGAGCTGGATCTATTCACCGGCTGTATGTCTGAGCTGGATCTACTCACCTCATGTATGTAAGAGCTGGATCTTTTCACTGTGATGTCTGAGCTGGATCTACCCACCTCAAGTATGTCTGAGCTGGATCTACTCACCTCATGCATGTCTGAGCTGGATCTACTCACCTCATTCATGTCAGAGAGCTCGATCTATTCACCTTATGTATGTCTGAGCTGTATCTACTCATCATCATGTGTGTCTGAGCTGGATCTACTCACCTCATGTCTGTCTGAGCTGGATCTATTCACCGTCCGTATGTCTGAGCTGGATCTACTCACATCATGTATGTCTGAGCTGGATCTACTCACCTCATGTATGTCTGAGCTGGATCTACTCACCTCCTGTATGTCTGAGCTGGATCTACTCACCTCATGTATGTCTGAGCTGGATCTACTCACCTCATGTATGTCTGAGCTGGATCTACTCACCTCATGTATGTCTGAGCTGGATCTACTCACCTCATGTATGTCTGAGCTGGATCTACTCACCTCATGTATGTCTGAGCTGGATCTACTCACCTCATGTATGTCTGAGCTGGATCTACTCACCTCATGTATGTCTGAGCTGGATCTACTCACCTCATGCATGTCTGAGCTGGATCTACTCACCTCATGTATGTCTGAGCTGGATCTACTCACCTCATGTCTGTCTGAGCTGGATCTACTCACCTCATGTATGTCTGAGCTGGATCTACTCACCTCATGCATGTCTGAGCTCGATCTATTCACCTTATGTATGTCTGAGCTGGATCTACTCACATCATGTATGTCTGAGCTGGATCTACTCACCTCATGTAGGTCTGAGCTGGATCTATTCACCGTCCGTATGTCTGAGCTCGATCTATTCACCTCATCTATGTCAGAGCTGGATCTACTCACCGTCTGCATGTCTGAGCTGGATCTACTCACCTTATGTGTGTCAGAGCTGGATCTACTCACCTTATGTATGTCTGAGCTGGATCTACTCACATCATGTACGTCTGAGCTGGATCTACTCACCTCATCTGTGTCCGAGCTGGATCTATTCACTCATGTATGTCTGAGCTGGATCTACTCACCTCATGTATGTCTGAGCTGGATCTACTCACCTCATCTATGTCTGAGCTGGATCTATTCACCGGCTGTATGTCTGAGCTGGATCTACTCACCTCATGTATGTAAGAGCTGGATCTTTTCACCGTCATGTATGTCTGAGCTGGATCTACCCACCTCATGTATGTCAGAGCTGGATCTACTCACATCGTGTATGTGTGAGCTGGATCTACTCACCTCATTCATGTCAGAGCTCGATCTATTCACCTTATGTATGTCTGAGCTGGATCTACTCACATCATGTGTGTCTGAGCTGGATCTACTCACCTCATGTATGTCTGAGCTGGATCTATTCACCGTCCGTATGTCTGAGCTGGATCTACTCACATCATGTATGTCTGAGCTGGATCTACTCACCTCATCTGTGTCCGAGCTGGATCTATTCACCGGCTGTATGTCCAGAGCTGGATCTACTCACCTCATGTATGTCTGAGCTGGATCTACTCACCTCATGTATGTCTGAGCTGGATCTATTCACCGTCCGTATGTCTGAGCTGGATCTACTCACTCTCATGTGTATGTAAGAGCTGGATCTATTCACCTTATGTATGTCTGAGGCTGGATCTATTCACCTCATCTATGTCAGAGCTGGATCTATACACCGTCTGCATGTCTGAGCTGGATCTACTCACCTCATGTATGTAAAAGCTGGATCTATTCACCTTATGTGTGTCTGAGCTGGATCTACTCACCTCATGTATGTCTGAGCTGGATCTACTCACCTCATGTATGTCAGAGCTCGATCTACTCACCTCATGTATGTCTGAGCTGTATCTACTCACCTCATGTATGTCTGAGCTGGATCTACTCACCTCATGTATGTCTGAGCTGGATCTATTCACCTCATGTATGTCTGAGCTGGATCTACTCACCTCATGTATGTCAGAGCTGGATCTACTCACCTCATGTATGTGGAGCTGATCTACTCACCTTATGTATGTCAGAGCTGGATCTATTCACCTCATCTATGCCTGAGCTGGATCTATTCACCTCATGCATGTCTGAGCTGGATCTACTCACCTCATGTATGTCTGAGCTGGATCTACTCACCTCATGTATGTCTGAGCTGGATCTACTCACCTCATGTATGTCTGAGCTGGATCTACTCACCTCATGTATGTCTGAGCTGGATCTACTCACCTCATGTATGTCTGAGCTCGATCTACTCACCTCATGTATGTCTGAGCTGGATCTACTCACCTCATGTATGTCTGAGCTCGATCTACTCACCTCATGTATGTCTGAGCTGGATCTACACACCTCACATATGTCAGAGCTGGATCTACTCACCTCTCATATGTCTGATCTGGATCTACTCACCTCATGTATGTCTGAGCTGGATCTACACACCTCACATATGTCAGAGCTGGATCTACTCACCTCTCATATGTCTGATCTGGATCTACTCACCTCATGTATGTCTGAGCTGGATCAATATTACACACCTCACATATGTCAGAGCTGGATCTACTCACCTCTCATATGTCTGATCTGATCTACTCACCTCATGTATGTCTGAGCTGGATCTACACACCTCACATATGTCAGAGCTGGATCTACTCACCTCTCATATGTCTGATCTGGATCTACTCACCTCATGTATGTCTGAGCTGGATCTACACACCTCACATATGTCAGAGCTGGATCTACTCACCTCTCATATGTCTGATCTGGATCTACTCACCTCATGTATGTCTGAGCTGGATCTACACACCTCACATATGTCAGAGCTGGATCTACTCACCTCATGCATGTCTGAGCTGGATCTACTCACCTTATGTATGTCAGAGCTGGATCTACTCACCTCATGTATGTCTGAGCTGGATCTACTCACATCATGTATGTCTGAGCTGGATCTACTCACCTCATGTATGTCTGAGCTGGATCTACTCACCTCATGTATGTCTGAGCTGGATCTACTCACCTCATGTATGTCTGAGCTGGATCTACTCACCTCATGTATGTCTGATCTGAATCTACTCACCTCATGCATGTCAGAGCTGGATCTACTCACCTCATGTATGTCATGCACACTCGTAGAAGGATAAGGGATGTATATGCTGATCCCGACATTACTGAACATCGACAGAGATTAGATGTGATTACATCAGTGTGATCAATATGATCCAGTTTCTATACACTGTGTGGGCTGTTTTACAGACTATGTCTTCGAGCAGGACACGTTTACTGTGACGGATGATATGCAGGCATGTTTCAACGACAACGGTTATTTACTGCTCAGGTATTGATTGTGTATTGGTTGTTTTGCTTTTATTGATTTAATTTTCGAATGATTTAAAGGTATGCGAAAAGGCTAAGAATGTCACAAACATGTAGATATCATAAAAAACACACACACACACACACACACACTGTTACAAACGCAGGCACACAGGCATACATACATACATACATACATACATACATACATACATACATACATACATACATACATACATACATACATACATACATACATACATACATACATACATACATACATACATACATACATACATACATACATACATACATACATACATACATACGTGTACACTCACGCACCATCTGAAGGGTTGCATTTCACTTTTTACCTTGTCGCAGGGGACTTCTGAGCAACAGCGAACTGAATCGAGTGAAGGAAGTAGTAGAAGACAATTCCGTCATCGATAAGTTTGCGTATGGTGTAAGTATTCTTTGACCTTCATGATTGTGTCAAGTTTGTCTTCTGTTGTGTTCAATACTAATAAAAGTGTTTCTCCTGTGCGAACTCTATCCTGTTCTTTAAAGGCACAATGTCACACATTTTCGACAATATTTTGGCCTATGTTATACATATTGGGGCATATGCACTCACTTTTGCTTCATATTGACGCAATAAATGATTTATCTCTTACCACTGGCCTGAAATCGATAACTGAAACTTCGAGGCGAATAGCTTCCAAACAGAGAACCCTTGCCATATATGGAATATAAACAATTGCTTGGTACATGGAAAACTGTCGCACGCGGTGTAATCGGTGTTTGCCGAACTGGTTTTCAATCACAAGTTGTGCGTAGGATATTCGTAAAGAGCGCTGCAAGGGACATAACTCTATGGTGTTTGCTTGAAATAATGTTCGGCCAGTAGAGGGCGCGAGAGTCTATTTAATGCAACGTTTCATTAACTCATTCGAACTATTTAATTTAACATTATATTGTAAATACGTAATTTTGTTTGGAATAAATTATATGCTAGCTTCCCTGAGAGCTGATAGTTTGTATTATTGAGAGAAATGCATTTTGTATTTTTAGAGAAGTGTGGTGTGATATTGTGCCTTTACAGGTAAAGGTGTTTTTCTGGTGTAAAGTATAGAGTGTTCTTTCACGGTAAAGGTTTTCATCGCTGAAACATATAACATCTTCACATTAATGACGCTGCTCGAGTGTAAGGTTCAGCTTTTCATCGCAAGCATTGACTTTCCTCTGATGTAGAACAAGGATGACAAAAACCGAGAGAGTCGACTGTGTCTGTGGAATCACCCTGGGAATGACGTCACCGGAATGGTGGCTCGATGCAGCAAGGTTGCAGGGACGTGTGCGAAGGCAAGTGATGCTGAACACATATTTAGACAGTTATTTAGACAATACCTTATGAGTAACGGAGAATGACAGATTATTTCCAACTTCTCGTTATTCACCAATGCTGCCTAAGCCCTTGGGGGTGTATTAAAGAAACTCCTTAGTGAAGATACTATACATGTATAACGGGACCCTATGGGTACAACTCTGGAAGCCCATTTCTGGTGTCCCCGCCGTGATTATTGCTGGAATATTGCTAAAAGCGGCGTTTCACTTTTATAAGAGTTTTCATGTTTGATTGTGTCATGCATATCAAATGAAACACTGAAAGCCATATTCATGAATTCACTTGTCCTGAAAGGGATACATTTTTGGAAAATGTTAATGCTGGCAATTGCTGAGATACAGAAATGTTAAAAATGATTATTAGGATGTTACGAATGGTGATTGGAAGACTCTAAACGTTAGCAGACAAAGTACATTCAATTCAGGTGAGCTAAATTGAAACAGGCAATATTTTTAATAAAATAATGTCATTTATTTACAACGATGTGACATGCTACAACAAGTGCTTTTAAAAGTCACCTCGGGTATAATAACATTGACAGAATATCTTCCCTCGTTATATTACTTATGTAAAGTTTTGTCTTAGTTTCCATTGTCACTGAGTTTACAGCACAACAATTCTCTGTGATTTGATTCGGATCCCAATGATATAGTGAGATAATGTGTACTGTTGTCTATGTTCAAGTTGTTGTCTGGCGAGGTATATCACTACCACACCAAGCTGATGATGAAAGAAGCGAAGACAGGGGGTAGCTTTGTCTGGCATCAGGACTATGGGTAGGTACACCGCTCTCCACACTCCGTGATTCGTCCTGGAAACAGATGGTGGGAAGTGGTTTATTTAGTATCCCGCCTTGTAGTACTAGCTTCACACTGCATGGATCGCAGGACAGCTGTTCAGAGGTGCAGATGAGGTGAAATGGGGTTTAACGTCGTACTTGTGAATATTTCGCGTGTGTATGTGTGGCTGCTTGTACTAGCCCAGACTTAAGCTGGTTTTATAGTGACAGCACACTGAGATGCCATGCCGCAGTTAAGCATGAATACCCCACTCAGACACATTATACTGACTCCGAGCCGACCAGTCCTTGATGTACCCATTAATGCCGAGCGCCAGACAGGGACCAACAAGTACCATATTTTAACGTCTTTTGGTATGAAACATCCGGGTATCGAACCCGCGACCTTCCGCTCTCCGGGCGGACGCTCTAACCACTACACCACGGAGGTGGTCCCAGCTGTCCAGAAATCATAGTATACATCGCATATACCAGGCAAACACATTACACTTACTGGTTCCAGAAAGGTTGTCCAAAATCCAGGTTTAAGTTCTTGTACTGTAATTGTTGTCCCGATTCCAACTACTGGTACAAGAAGGACTGGATCAAGATTTCAGTTACTGGTGCAAAGAAAGTGAGTGAGTGAGTTTAGTTTTACGCCGCACTCAGCAATATTCCAGCTATATGGCGGCGGTCTGTAAATAATCGAGTCTGGACCAGACAATCCAGTGATCAACAGCATGAGCATCGATCTACGCAAATGGGATACGATGACATGTGTCAACCAAGTCAGCAAGCCTGACCACCCGATCCAGTTAGTCGCCTCTTACGAAAAGTATGGGTTACTGAAGATCAATTCTATCCCGGATGTTCACGGGTATGGTACAAATAAAGTTGTCCAATATTCACCTTTTAGTTACAAGTTGCAGGAAGACCGTGTTTTCATGTTTTCACTGTGCCGAACCTCATTGACCTGATATGTTTCAGTTACTGGTATCGGAATGGGTGTCTCTTCCCTGATATGATGACTGTATTCATCGCGCTGGACAAATGTACTCGGGAGAATGGCTGCCTGCAGGTAGTGTAGAACCTGGTGCTGGGTATGCTATACTACTGGCCCTCGTGTCTTTGCGAGGATTAGGGGCGGCGGGGTAGCCAAGTGGTTAATGCGTTCGCTCGTCACGCCGAAGACCCGGGTTCGATTGCCCACATGGGTACAATGTGTGAAGCCCATTTCTGGTGTCCCCCGCCGTGATATTGCTGGAATATTGCTAAAACCGGCGTAAAACTAAACTCACTCAGTTTACGAGGATTAATGTTTAAAAAAATATTGATTTTGAGATGACCCTCGACTCGAAATGCAATACAATATATCATGGTGTGTTGTACTGTGAAGCACTTCGAGTCGGGGGTCATCTCAAATTTAAAATATGTTTATTAAATCTTTAATCCTCGCAAAGACACGAGGGCCTGTGTGCTATACTGGGGTACACATACCTAAATGTACAATTATGTACAACTACTGGATCGTGGATCGTGGATCGTGGTGTAGTTTTGTAGTGTACTGACGGTTGTGTGGTCGATGATGTAGTGTTGTATATTACAGATATTATCCGGTTCACATTTGTGTGGTCGTGTAGACCACGGTATTGTCGGCCGTCAGATTGGGGCTGATGTGGACCGAGTGTCAGAAATCAGCAAAGTGTGTGAGCAACTCTATGTGGAATTAAACCCAGGTAAATCGGCATTTGCTCCTGACGTTAAACCTTTGTTTCCAATTTGCGGTGACGCATTAGCTTCTGAACATTCTGCCACAAGAAACGTTAGCGTCTGCAGTTACTGAGTGAAACAGTTCCTCTTTGTGACTCTCAACATATCTAACAGGTGACGCCCTGTACTTCCACGGGAATATGCTCCACACATCAAGTGCCAACACCAGCAGCATGAGGCGATGGGCCTTACTGTGCGCCTACAACAAAGCCAGCAACAATCCGGTGAAGGAGCATCTGCACCCGTATTACACCCCTCTGACACAGGTACAGTAGTTTCAGTCAGTACATCTACACCCGTATTACACCCCTCTGACACAGGTCCAGTAGTTTCAGTCAGTACATCTACACCCGTATTACACCCCTCTGACACAGGTCCAGTAGTTTCAGTCAGTACATCTACACCCGTATTACACCCCTCTGACACAGGTCCAGTAGTTTCAGTCAGTGAGTGCATCTACACCCGTATTACACCCCTCTGACACAGGTTCTGTAGTTTCAGTCAGTGCATCTACACCCGTATTACACCCCTCTGACACAGTTCCAGTAGTTTCAGTCAGTACATCTACACCCGTATTACCCCCCTCTGACACAGGTCCAGTAGTTTCAGTCAGTACATCTACATGTACACCCGTATTACACCCCTCTGACACAGGTTCAGTAGTTTCAGTCAGTACATCTACACCCGTATTACACCCCTCTGACACAGGTACAGTAGTTTCAGTCAGTGCATCTACACCCGTATTACACCCCTCTGACACAGGTCCAGTAGTTTCAGTCAGTACATCTACACCCGTATTACACCCCTCTGACACAGGTCCAGTAGTTTCAGTCAGTACATCTACACCCGTATTACACCCCTCTGACACAGGTACAGTAGTTTCAGTCAGTACATCTGCCACCCGTATTACACCCCTCTGACACAGGTCCAGTAGTTTCAGTCAGTACATCTACACCCGTATTACACCCCTCTGACACAGGTCCAGTAGTTTCAGTCAGTACATCAACACCCGTATTACACCCCTCTGACACAGGTCCAGTAGTTTCTGTCAGTACATCTACACACCCGTATTACATCCCTCTGACACAGGTACAGTAGTTTCTGTCAGTACATCTGCCCCCGTATTACACCCCTCTGACACAGGTACAGTAGTTTCAGTCAGTACATCTACACCCGTATTACACCCCTCTGACACAGGTACAGTAGTTTCAGTCAGTACATCTACACCCGTATTACACCCCTCTGACACAGGTCCAGTAGTTTCTGTCAGTACATCTACACCCGTATTACACTCCTCTGACACAGGTTCAGTAGTTTCAGTCAGCACATCTACATCCGTATTACACCCCTCTGACACAGGTCTAGTAGTTTGTGTCAGTACATCTACACCCGTATTACATCCCTCTGACACAGGTACAGTAGTTTCAGTCAGTACATCTACACCCGTATTACACCCCTCTGACACAGGTCCAGTAGTTTCAGTCAGTGCATCTACACCCGTATTACACCCCTCTGACACAGGTTCAGTAGTTTCAGTCAGTACATCTACACCCGTATTACACCCCTCTGACACAGGTCCAGTAGTTTGTGTCAGTACATCCACACCCACATTACACCCCTCTGACACAGGTCCAGTAGTTTGAGTCAGTACATCCACACCCGTATTACACCCCTCTGACACAGGTCCAGTAGTTTCAGTCAGTACATCTACACCCGTATTACACCCCTCTGACTCAGGTACAGTAGTTTCAGTCAGTACATCTACACCCGTATTACACCCCTCTGACACAGGTTCAGTAGTTTCAGTCAGTGCATCTACACCCGTATTACACCCCTCTGACTCAGGACCAGTAGTTTCAGTCAGTACATCTACAGCCGTATTACACCCCTCTGACACAGTTACAGTAGTTTCAGTCAGTACATCCTTCCCATATTACACCCCTCTGACTCAGGTCCAGTAGTTTCTGTCAGTACATCTACTCCCGTATTACACTCCTCTGACACAGGTTCAGTAGTTTCAGTCAGTACATCTACATCCGTATTACACCCCTCTGACACAGGTCCAGTAGTTTGTGTCAGTACATCTACACCCGTATTACATCCCTCTGACACAGGTACAGTAGTTTCAGTCAGTACATCTACACCCGTATTACACCCCTCTGACACAGGTCCAGTAGTTTCAGTCAGTGCATCTACACCCGTATTATACCCCTCTGGCCCACAGGTTCAGTAGTTTCAGTCAGTACATCTACACCCGTATTACACCCCTCTGACACAGGGTCCAGTAGTTTGTGTCAGTACATCCCCCGACATTACACCCCTCTGACACAGGTCCAGTAGTTTCTGTCAGTACATCCACACCCGTATTACACCCCTCTGACACAGGTCCAGTAGTTTCAGTCAGTACATCTACACCCGTATTACACCCCTCTGACTCAGGTACAGTAGTTTCAGTCAGTACATCTACACCCGTATTACACCCCTCTGACACAGGTCCAGTAGTTTGTGTCAGTACATCCCACCTACATTACACCCCTCTGACACAGGTCCAGTAGTTTGAGTCAATTACATCCACACCGTATTACACCCCCTCGGACACAGGTCCAGTAGTTTCAGTCAGTACATCTACACCCGTATTACACCCCTCTGACTCAGGTACAGTAGTTTCACCGTAGTCAGTACATCTACACCCGTATTACACCCCTCTGACACAGGTTCAGTAGTTTCAATCAGTGCATCTACACCCGTATTACACCCCTCTGACTCAGGACCAGTAGTTTCAGTCAGTACATCTACACCCGTATTACACCCCTCTGACACAGTTACAGTAGTTTCAGTCAGTACATCCTTCCCGTATTACACCCCTCTGACTCAGGTCCAGTAGTTTGTGTCAGTACATCTACACCCGTATTACATCCCTCTGACACAGGTACAGTAGTTTCTGTCAGTACATCTGCCCCCGTATTACACCCCTCTGACACAGGTCCAGTAGTTTCATTCAGTACATCTACACCCGTATTACACTCCTCTGACACTATGGGTTCAGTAGTTTCAGTCAGTACATCTACACCCGTATTACACCCCTCTGACACATGTCAGTGGTGGTTTCTGTCAGTACATCTACGCCACATCTACAGTTCGATTACATCCTCCTCTGACACAGGTTCCAGTAGTTTCAGTCAGTACATCTACATCCGTATTACACCCCTCTGACACAGGTCCAGTGGTGTTGTCAGTCAGTACATCTACACCAGTATTACATCCCTCTGACACAGGTCCAGTAGGTACAGTCATTACATCTACACCCGTATTACACCCTCTGACACAGGTCCAGTAGTTTCAGTCAGTGCATCTACACCCGTATTACACCCCTCTGACACAGGTTCAGTAGTTTCAGTCAGTACATCTACACCCGTATTACACCCTCTGACACAGGTCCAGTAGTTTGTGTCAATTACATCCACACCGCATTACACCCCTCTGACACAGGTTCAGTAGTTTCAGTCAGTACATCCACACCTGTATTACACCCCTCTGACACAGGTCCAGTAGTTTCAGTCCAGTACATCTACATCCGTATTACACCCCTCTGACACAGGTCCAGTAGTTTAGTCAGTATTATCTACACCCGTATTACACCCCTCTGACACAGGTTCAGTAGTTTCAGTCCAGTGCATCTACACCCGTCAGTACATTATTACACCCCTCTGACTCAGGACCAGTAGTTTCAGTAGTTTCAGTACATCTACACCCGTATTACACCCCTCTGACACAGGTATCCGTGTCCGGTTGTCGTCCCACACAGTTACAGTAGTCTGACATCAGTCGGTATTGCCAGTACATCTACATCTACACCCGTATTACACCCCTCTGACACAGGTTCAGTAGTTTCAGTCAGTGCATCTACACCCGTATTACACCCCTCTGACTCCAGTAGTTTCAGTCGGACCAGTAGTTCTGACACCCAGGTCCAGTAGTTTCAGTACATCTACAGCCTGGGTGTGGATTTCGATCCAGTAGCCACATCCACCCCGTATTACACCCCTCTGACACAGTTACAGTAGTTTCAGTCAGTACATCTACACCCGTATTACACCCCTCTGACACAGTTACAGTAGTTTCAGTCAGTACATCTACACCCGTATTACATCCCTCTGACACAGGTACAGTAGTTTCAGTCAGTACATCTACACCCGTATTACACCCCTCTGACACAGGTCCAGTAGTTTGTGTCAGTACATCCACACCCACATTACACCCCTCTGACACAGGTCCAGTAGTTTCAGTCAGTACATCTACACCCGTATTACACCCCTCTGACTCAGGTACAGTAGTTTCAGTCAGTACATCTACACCCGTATTACACCCCTCTGACACAGGTTCAGTAGTTTCAGTCAGTGCATCTACACCCGTATTACACCCCTCTGACTCAGGACCAGTAGTTTCAGTCAGTACATCTACACCCGTATTACACCCCTCTGACACAGTTACAGTAGTTTCAGTCAGTACATCCACACCCGTATTACACCCCTCTGACTCAGGTCCAGTAGTTTCTGTCAGTGCATCTACACCCGTATTACACCCCTCTGACACAGGTTCAGTAGTTTCAGTCAGTACATCTACACCCGTATTACACCCCTCTGACACAGGTCCAGTAGTTTCAGTCAGTACATCTACACCCGTATTACACCCCTCTGACACAGGTCCAGTAGTTTGTGTCAGTACATCCACACCCACATTACACCCCTCTGACACAGGTCCAGTAGTTTGAGTCAGTACATCCACACCCGTATTACACCCCTCTGACACAGGTCCAGTAGTTTCAGTCAGTACATCTACACCCGTATTACACCCCTCTGACTCAGGTACAGTAGTTTCAGTCAGTACATCTACACCCGTATTACACCCCTCTGACACAGGTCCAGTAGTTTGTGTCAGTACATCCACACCCACATTACACCCCTCTGACACAGGTCCAGTAGTTTGAGTCAGTACATCTACACCCGTATTACACCCCTCTGACACAGGTCCAGTAGTTTCAGTCAGTACATCTACACCCGTATTACACCCCTCTGACACAGGTACAGTAGTTTCAGTCAGTACATCTACACCCGTATTACACCCCTCTGACACAGGTTCAGTAGTTTCAGTCAGTGCATCTACACCCGTATTACACCCCTCTGACACAGGACCAGTAGTTTCAGTCAGTACATCTACACCCGTATTACACCCCTCTGACACAGTTACAGTAGTTTCAGTCAGTACATCTACACCCGTATTACACCCCTCTGACACAGGTCCAGTAGTTTCAGTCAGTACATCTACACCCGTATTACATCCCTCTGACACAGGTACAGTAGTTTCAGTCAGTACATCTGCACCCGTATTACACCCCTCTGACACAGGTCCAGTAGTTTCAGTCAGTACATCTACACCCGTATTACACCCCTCTGACACAGGTACAGTAGTTTCAGTCAGTACATCTACACCCGTATTACACCCCTCTGACACAGGTCCAGTAGTTTCTGTCAGTACATCTACACCCGTATTACACTCCTCTGACACAGGTACAGTAGTTTCAGTCAGTACATCTACATCCGTATTACACCCCTCTGACACAGGTCCAGTAGTTTGTGTCAGTACATCTACACCCGTATTACATCCCTCTGACACAGGTACAGTAGTTTCAGTCAGTACATCTACACCCGTATTACACCCCTCTGACACAGGTCCAGTAGTTTCAGTCAGTACATCTACACCCGTATTACACCCCTCTGACACAGGTACAGTAGTTTCAGTCAGTACATCTACACCCGTATTACACCCCTCTGACACAGGTCCAGTAGTTTCAGTCAGTACATCTACACCCGTATTACACCCCTCTGGACACAGGGTCCAGTAGGTTTCAGTCAGTACATCCACACCCGTATTACACCCTCTGACACAGGTCCAGTAGTTTCAGTCAATTACATCTACCCGTATTACACCCCTCTGACACAGGTACAGTAGTTTCAGTCAGTACATCTACACCCGTATTACACCCCTCTGACACAGTTACAGTAGTTTCAGTCAGTACATCTACTACCCGTATTACACCCCTCTGACTCAGGTCCAGTAGTTTGTGTCAGTACATCTACACCCGTATTACATCCCTCTGACACAGGTACAGTAGTTTCTGTCAGTACATCTACACCCGTATTACACCCCTCTGACACAGGTCCAGTAGTTTCAGTCAGTACATCTACACCCGTATTACACCCCTCTGACACAGGTACAGTAGTTTCAGTCAGTACATCTACACCCGTATTACACCCCTCTGACACATGTCCAGTAGTTTCTGTCAGTACATCTACACCCGTATTACACTCCTCTGACACAGGTTCAGTAGTTTCAGTCAGTACATCTATCCCGTATTACACCCCTCTGACACAGGTCCAGTAGTTTGTGTCAGTACATCTACACCCGTATTACATCCCTCTGACACAGGTACAGTAGTTTCAGTCAGTACATCTACACCCGTATTACACCCCTCTGACACAGGTCCAGTAGTTTCAGTCAGTGCATCTACACCCGTATTACACCCCTCTGACACAGGTTCAGTAGTTTCAGTCAGTACATCTACACCCGTATTACACCCCTCTGACACAGGTCCAGTAGTTTGAGTGTCAGTACATCCACACCCGCATTACACCCCTCTGACACAGGTTCAGTAGTTTCAGTCAGTACATCCACACCCGTATTACACCCCTCTGACACAGGTCCAGTAGTTTCAGTCAGTACATCTACATCCGTATTACACCCCTCTGACTCAGGTACAGTAGTTTCAGTCAGTACATCTACACCCGTATTACACCCCTCTGACACAGGTTCAGTAGTTTCAGTCAGTGCATCTACACCCGTATTACACCCCTCTGACTCAGGACCAGTAGTTTCAGTCAGTACATCTACACCCGTATTACACCCCTCTGACACAGTTACAGTAGTTTCAGTCAGTACATCTACACCCGTATTACACCCCTCTGACACAGGTTCAGTAGTTTCAGTCAGTGCATCTACACCTGGAATATTACACCCCTCTGACTCAGGACCAGTAGTTTCAGTCAGTACATGTACACCCGTATTACACCCCTCTGACACAGGTACAGTAGTTTCAGTCAGTACATCTACACCCGTATTACACCCCTCTGACACAGTTACAGTAGTTTCAGTCAGTACATCTACACCCGTATTACACCCCTCTGACACTGGTCCAGTAGTTTCAGTCAGTACATTTACATATGTAACTATTTCCATATGCCACTGATTAGAGCAGGCTGCGTGCATCTCGTGTTGCAGGTGCCGAACACTGCCATTTTGGAGTGTCCAATACCCTGGGACACCACAGGGAAAGATCTGGTTACAAAGGACAGAAGGGAGAGGTTTGTTATGGCCAGTTAGTGCTCTGGAAATGGAATATCAAACAATACATTCATCACCAGTGCCAGAATAAACCCACATTGTCACACAGTGTGACACTAGTCGCACTGTAAATGGTTGTCATTGCGCATTAGTTGTAAAATTAAGTCTAGTCATGTATTTGTCAGCATTCTTCGTGTCATGCATAAGCGTTTCGGCAGGTCCAATAAACGATTGTTTTTGTGTGGCATTACTGACACCTGTGGATTGCATACTTGCATTATTCACCAATGCTGCGTAACTGGTGTGTATTAAAGCAACTTCTTAGTGAAGATACAGTGTATACATTACATATACACCTCTGGAGCCCTTGTGAGATTAGTGGATATGGTTTTACGCAGCTTTAGCAATATTCCGGCAATATCACAGCGAGGGACACCAGAAATGGGTTTCACATATTGTACCTATATGGGGAATCAAACCCAGATCTTTGGCATGACGAGCGAACGCTTTTATGTGAGATTAAGAGTTTTCACTTTATGTTTATATTGTGTCATTATGCATATCAAATGAAACACTGAAAGCCATATTCATGAATTCCCTTGTCCTGAAAGGGATACATTTTTGGAAAATGTTAATGCTGGCAATTGCCGAGAAACAGAAATGTTAAAAATGATTATTAGGAAGTTACAAATGCTGATTGGCAGTCTCTAGACGTTAGCAGACAAAATTTCACTTCAGGTGAGCTAAATTGAAACAGGCACTAGTTTTAATAAAATAATGTCATTTATTCACAACAATGTGACATGCTACAACAAGTGCTTTTAAAAGTCACATCTGGGTATAATAACATTGACAGGAATAATTACAGACGTTCATAACACAAAACATACAGACAGTATATTTAATGCAGTGACTTAGATTCCGGCTCAGACATGAGTGCAATATCACATCTATACAAAATGTGTCGTCAGCGTACATGTTACTGGCTGATCATATGATGTTACACCCTGTAGGTTATCAACAGATAATGAATCAATGGTTTATAGAAAACACCTGCAATTGAACATGTAGTCATGTTAAAGAGACAGAGGCTTGCTACACTTCCTACAAATATTTCAGCTACATGTGGTACACCACATATGGATGTCACACACTGCACTAATATGGTTTAAACCTGTTTCTGGAGTGATAAAATATTGCTTTAACCACTAGACTTGCTACACTTTCTCAGAATATTAAGAACTTTGTTCCATTTGAACTTGACTTGGAGCTTGTTAGCATTTGTATTCAAATATTGTTTGCATAAGGCCAGACCAATTTTATTTCTTGTTTTACGGTTCTGTAGTTCTGACTTTAGAGGAGAAAGGCAGAAATCTCGAATAGTGATGACATGGTACAGTTTGTTGATAAGATCATGTTTTACATCATCACTAGTGGTGTTCCGATGATCAAAAATAATCAAAAATCGATTGAAAGAAAGATGAAAAATAATTATCGATTGTAAAAAGCATATTTTCGATTAATCAGAATTTTGTTGTTTCAGTATAACACACTTGAATGAAGTAAACTAACCATTAAATTTGACGAATATTCACAAACAAACATGTGCTCTGCAGCGTAAAGCTATGCGCATTGTAAAATGTTAACCACTTTTATTGTTTAATTACAATTCCAGTGTCTTACTTACATGCATGCATTTCATTGCATGACAGTATTAGTTATAAAAAACATTACTTAGAATGAATCTGGGGAAACACCCTTAAACTGGTGATTACATTAAAAAAGTATATATTTCGATTGTAATCGATAATCGTTCACCTCAAGTCCTCCGATAATCGATAGTGGATTTGGTTTCCGATTCCCAACACTAGTCATCACCACATCACAAGTCAGTGACTACTGCATCATTCTTGTATGTCACTTGGAAATACAACAGATTTTATGAACGTCAGGCCTTGACCTGACACTGTTTGGTCAACAACTGCTGTTATTGTGGTAACAGAGAAGATGATTAAATGTTATAGACAGACGGATGGTGGACAACATGTTGCTATCTGTTCTAATTCTGAGCTTTGCTTGTCAGCTCTGATAATAACAAACTATAAAAATATACTTTTCATTGCACATCGACATACATATAGGGTCTCAACCTTAAAAATGAAAATTTGGTTTCGGTGAAGTAAAAAGTAAAAATAAAGCTTGTTACAAAAACAACACAGGGTTTCAATATTCAACAAAACAATTTCCTACTCACCATAGAAGGAGTATTGACTTCATGTTTGCATAGACCTGTCCACTGTTTAATGTCTACGTGGAAGAGTTGTGATTTGTGTAACCTAATGGACATCTATCAACTACAGATTCCTGTCAGTGGAGCACACAATACACTCCTGGTGCACACACACACAATCAACAACTTGTCACCTACAAACTTAAGGACTGGACGTATCAAATGAAATGCGAGATTGGCCTAGTGTTCATCAAGCTTAAGCTCACAACAAGCACAATTTTATGAAAGAAAATTCCAATTTAACAAAAATTGGCATTTCGAAACATCTGGAAATAAAAGAAAACATTTAATAAAAATTATTGAAAACTGTTCACAAAGGTTTGTTATACTCTTTCACATTAATAGATTGGAAGTTGAAACAGGGAGCCAGATAATAGTCAAGTTGTTTTGGATTAATACCAAAAATAGATCAAAGAAACAAAGTGAAAACTGCGACTTTGATTTGAACATATTGTTTGAGAATCAAACACTGAAGAGGCTCATTGTAAAAGAAACATGACCAATATTCACTTCTGGAGTAATGTCTGTCAAATACTTACAAAACCTAATTTAATCCAATTTTAAGTCAATTTGGTGGAATGAACTCATTTCATAAAATGAACCCCCAGGATAAATCAGAAGGCATCATTATCAAATCTCAAAAATAATATTTAAGAAATAGAGTTGCTTAACCATATGTTTAATGTAAGAAAGCAAGGAGTAGTTTGAAGTCATAATAGTTCAGGGTGAAAACGTATACCTGTACTTTATTACACTACACATGGTGGTATAGCATGATCTAGTACTTTTTCTTGCAAAAGACCGGGCACCTGTATCACACACTGATGGAGATACATTAAGCATCGGTCTAGTGGCCAGATACCCGTATCACACACTGATGGAGATACATTAAGCATCGGTCTAGTGGCCAGGTACTCGTATCACACGCTGACTGACTGAGTTTGGTTTTATGCCGCTTTACGCAATATTCCAGCAACATCATGGCGGGGGACACCAGAAATGGGCTTCACACCGTATCACACACTGATGGAGGTACATCAAGCATCGGTCTAGTGGCCAGATACTCGTATCACACACTGATAGAGATACATTAAGCATCGGTCTAGTGGACAGGTACTCGTATCACACAATGACGGAGATACATTAAGCATCGGTCTAGTGGCCAGGTACTTGTATCACACACTGACGGAGATACATTAAGCATCGGTCTAGTGGCCAGGCACCCGTATCACACACTGATGGAGATACATTAAGCATCGGTCGGTGGCCAGGTACCCGTATCACACACTGATGGAGATACATTAAGCATTGGTCTAGTGGCCAGGTATTTGTATCACACACTGATGGAGATACATTAAGCATCGGTCTAGTGGCCAGGTACTCTGTATCACACACTGATGGAGATACATTAAGCATCGGGTCGAAAGTGGCCAGGTACCCATTATCACACACTGATGGAGATACATTAAGCATCGGTCTAGTGGCCAGGCACCCATTATCATCACACAATGACGGAGATACATTAAGCATCGGTCTAGTGGCCAGGTACTCGTATCACACACTGATGGAGATACATTAAGCATTGGTCTAGTGGCCAGGTACTTGTATCACACAATGACGGAGATACATTAAGCATCGGTCTAGTGGCCAGGTACTCGTATCACACACTGATGGAGATACATTAAGCATCGGTCGAGTGGCCAGGTACCCGTATCACACACTGATGGAGATACATTAAGATCGGTCTAGTGGCCAGGCACCCGTATCACACAATGACGGAGATACATTAAGCATCGGTCTAGTGGCCAGGTACCCGTATCACACACTGATGGAGATACATCAAGTATTGGTCTAGTGGCCAGGCACCCATATCACACAATGACGGAGATACATTAAGCATCGGTCTAGTGGACAGGTACTCGTATCACACAATGACGGAGATACATTAAGCATCGGTCTAGTAGCCAGGTACTCGTATCACACACTGATAGAGATACATTAAGCATCGGTCGAGTGGCCAGGTACCCATATCACACACTGATGGAGATACATTTAGCATCGGTCTAGTGGCCAGGCACCCGTATCACACAATGACGGAGATACATTAAGCATCGGTCGAGTGGCCAGGTACCCGTATCACACACTGATGGAGATACATCAAGTATTGGTCTAGTGGCCAGGCACCCGTATCACACAATGACGGAGATACATCAAGCATCGGTCTAGTGGCCAGGCACCCGTATCACATACTGATGGAGATACATCAAGCATCGGTCTAGTGGCCAGGCACCCGTATCACACACTGATGGAGATACATCAAGCATCGGTCTAGTGGCCAGGTACCCGTATCACACACTGATGGGGATACATCAAGCATCGGTCTAGTGGCCAGATACTCGTATCACATACTGATGGAGATACATCAAGCATCGGTCTAGTGGCCAGGCACCGGTATCACACACTGATGGAGATACATTAAGCATCGGTCTAGTGGCCAGGTACCGTGATCACACAACCGATGGAGATACATTAAGCATCGGTCTACATGGCCAGGCACCAGTATCACACTGATGGAGATACATTAAGCATCGGTCTAGTGGCCAGGTACTTGTATCACACACTGATGGAGATACATTAAGCATCGGTCTAGTGGCCAGGCACCCGTATCACACACTGATGGAGATACATTAAGCATTGGTCTAGTGGCCAGGTACTTTCCGTATCACACACTGATGGAGATACATCAAGCATCGGTCTAGTGGCCAGGTACTCGTATCACACACTGATGGAGATACATTAAGCATTGGTCTAGTGGCCAGGTACTTTCCGTATCACACACTGATGGAGATACATTAAGCATCGGTCCTAGTGGCCAGGGTATCACACACTGATGGAGTAAGCCAGTCTATTTGTATCACACACTGATGGAGATACATTAAGCATCAGTCTAGTGGACAGGTATCTGTATCAAACACTGATCACACACTGATGGAGATACATCAAGCATTGGCCAGGATACATTAAGCACGGTCTAGTACCCGTATCACACACTGATTGAGATACATCAAGCATTGGCCAGGTATTTGTATCATACACTGACGGAGATACATCAAGCACTGGCCAGGTACCTTACCTCACACTTTGGTTCCATTCCCTCAAATATTCAAAACTATTTTGATCAACACTTACCGATTGTGGCGGATGTAAATGTTTGTGGAGGACAGACAGTTAATGATCATGTAAGCTTCGCCATGGATTATCAGCTGATGTACATCTTCACTGTTACAACCTACACACAAACACCCAACATCACAGAGACATAGGCAACTGTACATGACACTATATTGTTCCCAGATGTACACTCTATCCAGCATATCAAGTCACATCTAGTGTCATGCCTCCATAGAAATGTTAGTGGACAAATCTGCACAACTAAAATTTAGCACATCACCTCTTTAAAACACGCATATAACATTGATATCATAGTTTGCTGTAACTTCCAAAATATTTTCTTCAGAAGCATTTATTGTCAAACTTTCTGCTAAAATCTCCATACAAGAGGCCAAGTCAAGACCTAAGTAATAATAATAATAATAATGTCTATTTATATTGCGCTGGGTTCCATCCACAGAGGTGCATGCTCAAGGCGCTACAATAGTCACAGATGAGAAGTTCACGGGAGGAGATAGTTCGTGGGGATAGAACTTTCTAAAGGGAAAGATTTTTAGGTTGGTTTCAAATGTGTCAAGGGTGGGGGATTCTTTAATGTTCTGAGGCAGTGGGTTCCATAACTGAGGTGCTGCTACTTGAAACGATCTGTTGCCGTAGGATTTTAGTCTTGAGTTTGGTACTGCAAGTAGGCATTGGTTTTCAGACCTTAGACGTCGTGAAGGCTGGTATGGTGAGATCAGTTCTGATAGATAGCTCGGTGCTGTACCATTCAAACAGTGGTAGGCAAAACACAAGATCTTGAAGTGGATCCGGGCTTCTATTGGTAGCCAGAGTAGGGACATCAATACCGGTGTTATGTGGCTTCTTTTTGGTGCACGACTCACAATACGAGCTGCCCTATTTTGTACCTTCTGGAGTTTGTTCAGCAGCTCCTGACTCAAACCATACAACAGACTGTTGCTGTAGTCAATGCGGGACATCACAAGTTGTTGGACTAGTGTCTTTGTTACGTCTTTGGAAATAAGATGGCGGATATTACCAATACTTCATAGATGGAAGTAGCAGGTCTGGCACACTTGATTAACTTGGGCTTCCATTGACAAGGGAGAACCAAAGATGACACCCAGGTTCTTTGCTTTGTCGGTGAATGAGTCCTATTGACATGAGTAGTTACTGCTGGATCCCTCTGTTACCAAACCACATATAATACAGCACTGGTAGACACAGATGTTCTACATCCATGTTATAAGTAGGTTTACTTTCAGATGCATTATCAGTGTTATACCAACACAGTCCTGAGAAATCGTTACAAATTAGTTGTGGAAATCATGTGTGTGAGGAGAGAGTTTAAGGATGATATATGGAACCAGCATATGTTGCCCTTGGTTGCTACCGAGGTCTGAAGAACTAATCAACAATGAGTAGCAAGCAACTTGCACTGACCACTTCATATGACAATCCCACTGGGAAGCTAAGACGATGGACACAGATACATTTCACACTAACTCCCTCATACTGCATGAGGAAGACAGACAAACACTTAAGTAGTTTGATAACATGTTAGGCATTAAACCTTTTGAGGACATCCATTCTGGAATTCATAAATCTCATTAAAATCGTACCTTAGTGCTTGGTAACAAATCTCATTAGAACTGTATCTTTGTGCTTACTCAACAAAGTTCGGAGGACGTCCCATGACCGGTCATGTCAGAACTGACTTTTCTCAAACTGTAACCAACCGATGACCATGCTAACTGGCAGCTCAACATTATCCAATGAAAAAATAGCTTTGGGGAGTTTATGGCATCAGTTTCAAAATGAAAACTATGTTGACAAAGTTCTCCACAAATATTTTAAAACTGAACAAAAGAACATTATTACCTATGTTATATTTGGGATTACACTTTAATATAAAATATAACAAAGGTTACATTTGACCACTTTCTAAATTGAAGTGTAATCAAAAGAACATTCTTCAATGTTTAATATATGACAGCAGAGAGGTTGCTCTGATGAGACCCAAAACGTGATGTCCTCACATCTTTGTTTAGAACACTAAGATTTCATCTTAATGAGATCAGGAATTCTTGCTTTGAGCAGATGCATACAGACTTCAACAGAAAGTGGATTTCTCTCTTTCATATTCCCAGCATTTCCATACAAAATGAGATTTAAATCCTACAACTGTTGTACCTGATAAATAAATTACATTGTCAACAAGCTGTGGGATGTATCCCTGATGGAATGTTGAATAAATACCCAAATGTACAACATGGCAACAACATACAGTGCTACTTACACACTCTGGACACCAGTGTGGTCAACTCTGTCCCACAAGTCATCAGTCCATAATGTTGACTGTTTAGGACTACATATGTCCATTTGTACTTAGTTAAAATATATCATAAATAATTTAGTTTGATGATCAAATTGTAAAATAGCTAAAATAGGTCTGAATGGACAATATTGCACACATGACCATCAACAAAACAGGGTCTTACATTTAGTTGCTAATCACAACATGGCTTAAAGATGTAATAATGTTCAATATATATCATTGTCACGTCATATAGCTGGTGTATCACTCATTATGCAACAATCAGTTTCATGGGTAAGTTAAATATTTCCCAAAACTCATTAGCAAGCAAAGAGTCTGACAGACTAGAGAGGTTAAGTATACCTTTAACCATTAACAACCAAACCTTACATACTGCCTTCACAGAAGCCCCATACCACCATACTACAAAGTAATGTGAAGGCTGTACTGGGCCACTGGGCCCCTTTTCACAAAGCGCTCGTAAGCCTAAGATCTCGTTACTTTTCTCATAGCAATCGTATCTCCTATACTGTAACATTGGAGGTACGAATGCTACGAGAAAAGTTAAAAGATCTTAGGCTTATGAGAGCTTTGTGAAACGGGTCCCTGGATGTATATAACACACACCCACTGCCTGGGATACCATTCACATGTGTTCCTGTATAACACACTAACTTCAACACCAACACACAACAACTACCAGCTCTTATAGTTGCATTTCTTCATCATACAGGCAGACACCCACATGGCCTCCAGTTCCGGCGTATTGTGAAGTGATAGTACATCAGTAGAATGATAACAGCACACATCACATAGAACATCATGCACATGCCAAGGTCGACACCATTAAGTCCCCAGCCTTTCCGCGACACTTGGTACTGCCTGTCTTGGTGGTTGTACTCCTGGCTGTCTGCTTGACGAGCCCGCTCCCATACCTGTCTCTCCATCTTCTGCTGGTATACCACTTTCTTCTGTTTTCTGAGTGAGTGAATCTTCTCCAGGTCCTGGGCACGCTGCTGCTTCTCCCACCAGTCCAGTTCACCCTTGCCTCGGACCCTACCACCTTTCAGACCTGTCTGTCTACTGTCACTGACAATATTGTCTTGTCTATAGAGCCCTACAAGGTAGGTCAATACTTTGGCCTCATCCCAGCCTGTATCGCCTGTGTGACACTGGGGACATGACGTCCTTGAGGGGAACTGAATCTTGGGGTGTTGGGGGTCCTCGGACAGGTCTCCATGGAGTCGCTTGTTGGCTTTGTTGTGTGCCCGCCACAGCCATAGCACAGTGTCAGAACCATCATGAACCTCCTGCTCTACTGTCGAGGCCATCTTCATAAAATTCTTAGAGCATTCTTCACAGCCAAAAAACTTCTTCATGTAACCACTGATACCAAGTAGAACTTCTTGCGGGTTGGTTCCTGAAACAGATCACAGATTTATCAAGACAGCATATAATTCCAAACTTCTTCAAAAGGATGTATTTAGGACAACCAAACTTAGCAGTATACATGCAACTTAAAGTTGCTTTGGGGAAAGATATTTTCTTACTTATCAAGCATTGATTAGACACAATGAAGAGAGCTCCATATATAACTAGTTCCCAAAGCTCACACTGTATATTTATATTGAGGATGGAAGGTTCTACAAACTGATTCTAGATCAGTTGAATAACAAGCTACAATGCTTCCCCCCAAACTGCCTGACTGACTGAGTTTGGTTTTCTGCAGCTTTTAGCAATATTCCAGCAACATCACGGCGGGGGACACCAGAAATGGGCTTCACACATTGTACCCATGTGGGGATTCGAACCCGGGTCTTCGGCTTGACGAGCCAACGCTTTAACCACTAGGCTACCCCAGCTTCCCCCCCAAAAGCTTAACTTGGTTACACAATTCAGAAAAGGTTACATCCCATTCTGCCTACAGTCCCAATTTCCTGACATCCCAGTTTGGCTACAAATATTGCTGTAGGCAGAATGGGAAATAAATTTTAGCCTATGAGATAATGGAACAACCCAGTTACCAGTCACTGAAGGGTGGGTATGTTGTTGGGTTTGGAGAAAGGGTAATCAATGCAATGTGTAATACAGAAGGGAGATGGCATTAATCGTGACTCTTACTGTGATGAATACTTACTGAGATGAGACAGGTGAGAGGAAACTGTAAGTGTATGAAACAGTGTCCACATGCCACAAGGGTAACCGCGGTAACGTGTTTCACTGCCAGCGCAGCCTATCCACGTCACATCATCAGGTAGGAAACTTCCTCTCGTCTGATAACATATAGATTAAACAAGATGTCACACATATCTGTGAAATACAGATCATACAGTAGGTCACATATATCTTTTAACATACAGATTATACAATGTCACACATATCTTATAACGTACAAATTATACAATGTCAAATACACCTGTTAACATACAGATCCCTATGTGTATTACCTGTACATGATCTAGCTATCCTGACAACCCTGTGTGTATACCTGTACATGATCTAGCTATCCTGACAACCCTGTGTGTATACCTGTACATGATCTAGCTATCCTGACAACCCTGTGTGTATACCTGTACATGATCTAGCTATCCTGACAACCCTGTGTGTATACCTGTACATGATCTAGCTATCCTGACAACCCTTTGTGTATTACCTGTACATGATCTAGCTATCCTGACAACCCTGTGTGTATACCTGTACATGATCTAGCTATCCTGACAACCCTGTGTGTATACCTGTACATGATCTAGCTATCCTGACAACCCTGTCTGGATACCTGTACATGATCTCTATGCTATCCTGACAACCCTGTGTGTATATACCTGTACATGATCTAGCTATCCTGACAACCCTGTGTGTATACCTGTACATGATCTAGCTGTCCTGACAACCCTGTGTGTATACCTGTACATGATCTAGCTATCCTGACAACCCTGTGTGTATACCTGTACATGATCTAGCTATCCTGACAACCCTGTGTGTATACCTGTACATGATCTAGCTATCCTGACAACCCTGTGTGTATACCTGTACATCATCTAGCTATCCTGACAACCCTGTGTGTATACCTGTAGGGCATCTAGCTGTCTAGACCACTCCTCTCCCTGCAGAGGGCCTGGTACATCGTTCAGCCACTTCTTGACACTGACCAGAAATGACATTATCTCTTCCCGACCAGGAAAATACTGAAAATAACAGAAACACAGGTTAATGAATCTTGTTAAAAATTTCCTTGATACTGTTGTGATAGTTTCATCCAGAACAGACGGAATGGAAGCGGATGTTTTGCAAGGAATGGAATGTTAGTACAATCCAAATACAGATTAAGGATTGTCAGCAGCATCAGTATAATCCCAGCACTGATCAGGGAATGTTTAAACAATCCCAGGACTTTTCACGTGCTGAAGTACTTTCATCAACTAAGAAAATTCAAGTACTGGTACTTATCTGTCTGCACTGAACAAGGCGCTTATCAAAGGGAGACAATTGAATATTTTCAGAGTTGTCTCCCTTCCAACATTCACATTTTCAATGTGATTCCCATAGAAACACATTGGTATTACATTCAAATATACTTGCCACAACAATAATGTCTCTGAGCAACTGAGCCTTAATGGATAAAATCTACTGCCAGCAGAAACAATAGTTGATGACAAAATTGAGTGAATAAAATGGGTGTCGAAAATAAACTTTTTTTTAAAGCTGAACTACTGATTCTCTAAAAAGAAAATCTGAGGGAACCAGTGTATGTTTCATTTCAGTTCAAATGACCCTGATAACTTGGCAGAGATATCTGCCTGAATGAAACTTCAAAAACATCTTCTCTTAGGTTTTTTAAGCCAAATCTTGGAATGCAAAATACATCGCTAAATATAAGGATGTTTTAAATTCAGCTTCTCTTCCAGTTTAAGTTGTGGCTCATAATGTAAACTTCAGTAAATTGTCATGGTTGGTAGGTTTCAGGAATTTCAGAAACACATAAAAAATGAAAAGTATACCATGAAGAAATGCTGATATGTTGCTAAGAAAAGTATCTAGAGGAAGACTGACTGACTGACTGAGTTTGGTTTTACACCACTTTTAGCAATATTCCAGCAACATCACGGCGGGGGACACCAGAAATGGGCTTCACACATTGTACCCATGTGGGGATTCTAACCCGGGCCTTCGGCGTGATGAGCCAACGCTTTAACCATTAGGCTACCCCACCGCCCCTCTAGAGGAAGAAACTAACTGTCAAGAGTTCAGAAACCAAGAGAATCCAAGGAGTGGTCCATGATGTCTATCATGTCGGCAGTGAGGGAAGAGTGTGAGGGGGCTCAGGCTAAGCTAGATAGCTCTATAGATCAGGACAAGGACTTCAATCTGTTTCCCTGTCTGTTTGGCTATGGTAGGGAAGTTAAAGCACTGTGTAGATGTACTACTGTATATTACTACAGATAAGCCGAATTTTGAAGACCAAAAAAAGCAGCCTGTAGAATGGGGGTCTACAGGTAACACTTTCGTTAAACTTATTTTCTGGTGACCAGTAAGAAATGACAAACAAGAACAAACAAGAGAAAACGGCTTTGTCTGTGAAGACGTCAAATTTTATGATGTTTGAGGAAAGCCTGAAGAGATGCCTCAGATGTTAACTACTTTGGTGGAACAAGCTAACAAATATATGGGGCAAACTGGGATGTGAGCTCATGATCATAGGTCTAGCACAAGGGAAGCAACTCTACAAAGCAAATGGCAGCACCATAGACACCCGTACCACCCGTGCCCAAAGACATTTAATGGAATTTTGATAAAGCCTTTATACTTTCTTAGCAACGTGCAAGTCTTGTACTTTTGTCAGGATGCAGAGGCATGAATCATAAACAGGGTGAAAATGAATGATTTTTTGTACATGTAGATGAAAACATCAAAGCACACAACTATATAAGAAGAAATGTTCCCCAAATTAAACATAACAAATCTTCACACCAGGCAGTCAAAGCTGTGGAAGTCCTACACTTTACTGACAAGAGTTAACAAGAAGCTAGCCCATCTGTCAGTCATACTGCCAATGATCTTCAGACACTTCTTCTTATGCTTCCTATCAAATGGTCATGCTAGGTAGTACTTGTACTGCTTGTGAAACTTGTAAGATCTCCCTATCCATAGAAAACCTACCAAATCATTATCCTTCTATACTCATGGAAACAAATAAGGGAAGAGATGAAAGCAAAAGTGTTCCTATATTCTTTTCCAGGATTCTACACGTATGCTTTGTATTGTACTGTGGGTGAAAAGCAGGAAAACATAAAGGAACACATGTTCTTTCAAGTGTTCCTTTATTTGTTTCCATGAGTATATTTCCAACCTTACTTGCACCCGTTTGGAAAGCCAAAAGATACATCTACCAATCCATTAACTAGAACACAATCTTACTGCAAGCAAGCAAACATTTTGGGAAGGTAAATAGGAGAAAAGTGGATGCTGAATACATATATCTAGAGTTGTAATACCTTCACAAGAACTGTTATATAGTTCTTCAGCGCTGTTACGGCCTCTTCATCAATGGAACTCTTTATGGCCACCTCTTGTTTCAAGCTGTAGTGTAGGGCCGATTCCAAGTCCTTCATGTGCACTAGTGCACTGAAACAAGCAGAGTACTATTTCAACAATAATATATTTGTCAATACAGCTTTTTCCTGATATTGCAAACACTTTTTGGTTTCAGCAAATGGCGGATAAATACATAAATTGAAATAAATGTAATTTTCTGATTAAAATTGATATTTTATACTTATCCTGACTCATGCTTAATTGCTTGTCTTCTTCTTCTTGCAAACTATAGTAGAACACTTGAATCCCCTTTTGAAGCTCCCTTAAAAAAAGTGGACGTAAAATCACTCACCCCAGTAGTCTCCCTTTCCCTCATCTTTTGGCGCGAAAAGTTGGTCACATGATCGGCCATGCTTGTCACTCTCTCCGTATGTTCGAGCAGGGAAATCCAGAGTGCCATGAGGGGAGGTTGGGAGGGCTAACCTCATGAGTCAGGATAAGTATAAAATATCAATTTTAATAAGAAAATTACATATTTTTCCTTATCCTGACTCATGCTTAATTGCTTGTAGAATCCGACGGAAACGGTGGTGGGTCAAGCCACTCTGGATGCTCTGCTGATTTAGGTCCTTATACCCCCTTGGGAACTTCCAATGGCATTTGTCCTTTCTTCCAGCTTCCTCTGATGAGTGGGGGGACCACAACTTGTCAGATTTATCCTGGAAATCTTCTCCTGACATTCTGTGTGGATTTATGCAACTCCATCTCTTGATGCTTGCATCAAGTGGAGAAGTGACCCTACTTCGTGTACAAGAAAGTCCTTACAAGTACAGGGTCCATCACTCATGCTAGCCTGTCCTAGACGTTCGCATGGACTTTAAAACCGTAACTCTGTTTACAAGTCACGTGACAAAGGGGTGAGATTTATCTCAGCGTCTTTGAGGTAACGTCAATTGTTGTGCTACAACAAGGGGCCCAAACTGGTGATGCCGGAGACGTCCTCTGTAGCCATGTCTCTGAGGTAGTGGTTGGCAAACACCGTCTCCGATCTCCAAAAGCAGCCCTCCATTATTGTTGAGATGGAGCAGTTTCCATGCAGAGCTAGTGTGGATGCCAGTGCTCTGACTTCATGAGGATTGGAGGCTCGTGGAGGATCAGGTCCTGTTGCTTTGTAGGCTTTCAATATGACGGCTCTCATCCATATTGATATAGTTGTACGTGAGACTTCTGTAGGTGTCTCCGTGGATAGAGGGATGAAAAGGCGCTTGAATTTTCGTCTCCTCAATTTAGACCTCCGTAGATATATTTTCAATGCTCTGATTGGACATAAGGATCGATCTTGCGTATCCTGTGGTCCTAATATTGAAGAAAGTGCTGGGATATGGAATTGTCTGTCTGGTTGACCGGGCAGTTGATTCTTTGCTATAAAATCCCATCTTAGTCCCAGATGCACTGTGTCACGATGCATGTCAAATCTTGTTCTTCCGAAGTTTAGAGCATGAATTTCTGACATCCTTGCCGCTGTTGCTAGGGCTACGAGGAACAGGGTTTTATGAGTTAATTTCTCATATGATGTCCTTTCTAGTGGTTCATAATCTTCACTGGTAAGATGCTGTAAAACCACATTGAGATCCCAAGCGGGCGCCTTGAATTTCCTTTGTTGGTCTTCCAATTTGAATGAGCGTAGTAGTGCCAGTATCTCTGGTACTTTGATCAGTTTTATACCCGATTTCATCGAGATAACTGTGCTCAAGGCCGCTAGGTATGTAGAGAGTGTAGATCCCTTTAATCGTTTTGTCTGTCTAAGATGACAAAGATATTCCGCCACTTGAGGATGTGTTGCTTCCATTGCAGTGAAGTCTTTATTCCGTGCATATTTCTCAAAACTTTGCCACTTGTCATCATACAAGTTACGGCTAAAGTTACTACTTTGGCCGCTTTGGTGGAATATCCTCTTTCCTTCAAGCAAGTTGGGATACGCTCCATGCGTGTAGCTGAAACACTGTTGGATTTCAGTGTGCTTGCTTGGTGTGTGGATGAATCAGTAGATTTAGTTACTTGGAGGTTGTAGGATTGGCTTTCCTAGATCTTGTATAAGGTTGGGAAACCGCACTCTTGCTGGCCAATAGAGCGTGAACAAAATCAGTTGTAACTTGTTTGTCACCTTGATTTCCTGTAATACCTTCGGTATTAACGCTGGAGGAGGGAACGCGTAAGCGTTTAGTCCTTCCCAAGAGATGTGTGATGCTATCACATTTCTGGCTTCCCAAGAGATGTGTGATGCTTTTATGTCGATGTTCAGGTTGTCTACTATGCTGAATAGATGAAAGCTGAGGTCTAACATATTCTTTGATCTTGTTGACCCTTGTTTGTTGATGTAGAACGCCACTGTGGAGTTGTCCGTATGGATCATCAGTTGTGCGTTCCTTAGTATGCTTGACCAGTGTAGTAAGGCGTTTATTACTGCTTCCATCTTGAGCATGTTGATGTGCAGACTCGACCATTTCCCTGCTGCCACTTTGTTGTCAAGGTGAACTTCGCAGCCTTGAAGTGATGCATCTACGTAGAGATAAGTGTTGCACTCCAGCTCTGATAAGTAGGTTCCTCCACAAATATTCGACTTCCTTGTCCACCATAGAAGATTGGTTTCAATCCGTCCGGTAGTCCTAAGGAGACCAGACGGTTGAGATGGGTGTTCACAAACACTTGTAGTGGGCGCAACTGTAGACCTCCTGTGCGAGTCATATCTTGTGCTGACGTGAGAAAACTGAGTAGGCTCTGCCAACTTCGTAGTGGTAACGGAGAGAGTAGTGCTTGAGATACCATGGCTTGTATCTAGACCCAACTATTCTTTGAGACGACACTGCGATTCTGCGGTGAGATGAACATCTTCCCCAAAATCTGCTCATATCCTACGTTCTAGGTAACTTTGCCATTACCGTAATGGCAGCGAAGCAAAATGTCCGGTTCTGGCATCATGACTTGAAGTTTATTTCTTCAATCTTCCGATAATATGTAAAAAGGACTTGTCATCAGAATCGCCACAAGTGCAGTGATAATGCATAATTCGTCGTTTCTATATGTACTGGAATTGCCATCGCTGTGAAGTCTAATTATAGTAGACTGGCTGCCTCGAGCAGAAATCGTCAAACGTATGTTGCTGCAATTCGTCAGATTACCAATCTTCAAACTGCTGACAGGGAAGGTCCTTATGACCGTGAAGACGGTCAAATCACGCTGTACCCTGCTAACTGGACTGTAAATGGAGCCTTCCTCACACGTTGAAAAGTTGTTTACGATTGTAGATAACTTCCTGACACGTGAGCTGTGCCTGACTTCTGCACAGGGCGTTGTCTCTCATGGACCAATCAGATTGCAGCATTTGATTCATCTCAGATTCCCGCGATGTGACGTCACCGGTGTTGCAGGAAAAAGATCCTTGTAAAATCTTGTGCAGTCGTTGATTTCTCTCATCAACATTCGGCCTTGTCCGTAACTTCCCGAAATACACGAGTGAACACGTGTATAGCAGGCTGAGTGGAAAACGTGCGAAAGATTTCCCGCGTAATACCGATGTAGGTGGACTGTTTCCCTGGCTGTTGTGACTTTTCTCTTCTTCACTGAAGATAATGCAGTCGTCATACTTGCTTAACGTTGATACTTGTAGACTGTAGTCATCAGTCTCAATGAAGCGCCTTAAAATAACCGATTGTGTTGAATACACAAAAGTTATTGTAGAGTTGATACTTCACTACGATGATCGGAAAAAACAATATTACGCTGAGGACTGCGACAATGCCAATGCTAAGATAGTGGTAACTGTTAAGCTATCCCATTCCTCACAAGAGCCAGCTCCCCTGCAATGGAAGTCGTTGATGATTTTGTAGTTCTCATCTATCTCTGGGGCCTTCATGAAGGGTTCCATATGGTGAAGAGAAGTGGTATACTTTGACTCTGGTACTTCGTTGCCTTCTTGAAGGCTGTACTGAGTTGTCTGGTACATCCAAGACCGAATCGATGGATGGAAGGGTGAACTTGTCAAAATCGTCGTTAGACATTATGTACGTGAATGCTTCATTATCCTCCTTAGGTGGTGATGCAAGCTCCAATCCATTAGCCATCCAGGATTTAATCTTTGTATCGGAGAAAATAATGCATCTCTAGATGCATCTTGTTCTGAAGATCGTTGTCGTTGGTCCTATTCTCTGAGTGGAGATTTATGAAGGTCTGTGTGAAGGCATTCGTGAATGCCTTTCTGAAGATGCATTTGGTGATCAATGAGGAGACCTGTATCTGCATGGGATGTCTATTCTCTTCTATGGGACGTTCGCGCAGGCCTCTGGTGATTGTCCGAATCTGAAGATGAGGATAATCTGCGATGCTCCGGTGAACGTGTAGTTCTCCTTTTCAACTACAGGCTCCTCGTTGTCCAGGTTGATAGGTTCTAGTGAAGTTGTCATAACTGACTGTTGAGATCTATGTGTAAGCCTGCGCGAAGGCACTCTTGATTGCCTTCCTGGAGATGTGGTAGGTGATCTGTATCTGCGTGGCGACGACCATGAAGACCTTCCTGAAGACCTGCGTGATGATCAGTCTCTGTGAGCTGTATGCCTTCGTGAAGGTGTATACTCTCTTCTATGGGACGTACACGCAGACCTCCGATGATTGTCCGAGGATGAAGATGATCTGCGATGCCTTCGCGAATGCTCCTCGTCTATTGCAGGAGTCTCTTCATAATTGTTGCTTCCTTCGCGAAAGCCTTCGCAGGTGCTGTCTCGACTGTTGTCTCCATGAGTGTCTTCACAAGTGGTTCTTCCGCGAATGCCTTCGCGAGCTCCGTCACGAGTGTTGCTGTCTTCGTGAACGTTCCCTTCACGAACGTTCTCTTCACACAGGTTGCTTCCTTCATCCCGATGAGGTGTAGACGATGTTCGTCCTCCTTGCAGATTCGTCTGCTTCGCTGCAGTCTTCTCCTGAGCGAACCTACGTTCCATCAGGTCAATCATCTGCTGGGTAAACTGCTGCATAAAGATGCCCGGGTTGAAGGTCTGCGCTGATAACTGGTGCTGTTGTACAGATGACGCCGCATCTGACAGTGCTGAGGTGTCATCTATAGACTGTCTGTCCTCCCTGGTATCTGCAGTCTGCGTAGATAGGACGTCTGATTGCGTTGATATAGTTGCAGACGTCAGTGTAGAAGAAGATCTCGTCTTCTTCCTCACCGGTACTTCAGGGATGAGGATTGGCGACTCATCATAAACGTCTGCTTCGTCCGATGGGTTGATATCTGTGGTGAAGGACCTCGACTTCTTCGCTGCCCCCACTGACGACTTGACTGTAGACTTGTCTGAAGACAGCTTAGTCTTCACAGCAGACGACGTCCTGGTCTTCTTGGACTGCGACGAGGATTGTTGAGTCGATGACGATCTTTTCCTAAGTCCGGAAACCTCATTCCTCTGCTCTGAAGACACCACCGGCAGCTCACTGGAATGATGTACCTCGACAGACAACAACCCACGGTTATTAACGCATTCACCCTGTTGAGACATGACTTGTAATTGTCGCCTCACCTTGTCCTTGGCACGTCTATGAACAGAATATGATTAATTACAAAATTCAATTTGAGATAAATGCTGACAAGAAGAGGCTGGAAGAACATATAGAAGTGCAGTTAGGACATAAAGAATGCGGATCAGCAGCTGACAACCGAAACCTGCAAGAAATGAAAGTCTTCATGAAATGTAAACAAGTTGAAACATGTTGTCAACAACGTGAAAAAACGGACAAATTTAGAATAAATTTCAAACCATATTGCTGGTAAATCCTTGCTAAAGCCCTTATACAGCCTAATTTAGTATAAAAGCCTAAAATTCAAAGGATATATGCCATATAGGGGACCCAGGCGCTCTCACAACGGTCGAAGAAGAAGGGGAGAGTGACAAGCATGGCCGATCATGTGACCAACTTTTCGCGCCAAAAGATGGGGGAAAGGGAGACTACTGGGGTGAGTGATTTTACGTCCACTTTTTTTAAGGGAGCTTCAAAAGGGGATTCAAGTGTTCCACTATAGTTCGCAAGAAGAAGAAGACAAGCAATTAAGCATGAGTCAGGATAAGGAAAAATGTTAATTTTAGGATACATTCTTCATCAATGTTCAACATTTCAAGGTGTATGTTAATCTAAAGGTGTTGAATCATCCAAAATGAAACATGTAAAACAAATGAAAGGACTGTATAATATGTGACAAAGACACTAGGCTGATCTCAGGAAGCTCAGGGTAGGAGAGTGATTGGAGATGCCACCCAGGCATATATCTATATTGTAATTTAGGCTTTGATAAACACTAGCTGCTAGTGTAATCAAGTGTTGACAGGTCTGTCCTCTGCCTCCTTTCCCTGACCTTACTGCCCCTCCCCATTGCCCTTGTTCAACACTTACGACTGTGGAGGTCTGTCCTCTGCCTCCTTTCCCTGCTCGTACTGCCCCTCCCCATTGCCCTTGTTCAACACTTACAACTGTGGAGGTCTGTCCTCTGCCTCCTTTCCCTGCTCGTACTGCCCCTCCCCATTGGCCTTGTTCAACTCATGACTGTGGAGGTCTGTCCTCAACTTCCTTTCCCTGCTCGTACTGCCCCTCTCCATTGCCCTTGTTCAACACATGACTGTGGAGGTCTGTCCTCAACTTCCTTTCCCTGCTCCTCCCCATTACTCTTGTTCAACACTTGCGTCCGTGGAGGTCTGTCCTCAACCTCCTTTCCCTTCTCATACTGCCCCTCCCCATTGCCCTTGTTCAACACATGACTGTGGAGGTCTGTCCTCAACCTCCTTTCCTTGCTCCTCCCCATTACTCTTGTTCAACACTTGCGTCTGTGGAGGCCTGTCCTCTGCCTCCTTTCCTTGCTCCTCCCCATTGCTTTTGTTCAACACTTGCGTCTGTGGAGGTCTGTCCTCTGCCTCCTTTACCTGCTCCTCCCCATTACTCTTGTTCAACACTTGCGTCTGTGGAGGTCTGTCCTCAACCTCCTTTCCCTGCTCATACTGCCCCTCCCCATTACTCTTGTTCAACACTTACATCTGTGGAGGTCTGTCCTCTGCCTCCTTGCCCTGCCCCTCCCCATTGCCCTTATTCAACACTTACGTCTGTGGAGGTCTGTCCTCTGCCTCCTTGCCCTGCCCCTCCCCATTGCTCTTGTTCAACACTTACGACTGTGGAGGTCTGTCCTCTGCCTCCTTTCCCTGCTCGTACTGCCCTTCACCATCACCCTCGTTCTTCATTTCCTGGTCTTCAACCTCCTTCTTGTCTCCAACCTTTATGTGATCCTTCTCGTTCTTGTGCATAGTGCTATTGTCAGCAATCAGCTTCCCACTGAAGGCTTGAATGGCACTTACAAAGTTTGCCCTATCTTGGATACCATAATCACCCCTGCAAAATAGATATTCCTGAATAAACACACAAAATTCTTTCCATTAGGGATATTGAAGAAAAATAGAAGCAAAATGTCCATAAGAAGGCCCATTGTATAAAGGTTAATATAGACCATACAGAGGAAAGTGTAATTGGGAAATATATGCAGTAAACACCCTGCTTGATATACCCTTTGGATCCAGTTACACTGCCATACAGATTTCTCATTTTAGTTGTCCATGCACGCCACTAATATTTGACAAATCACATGTAATTTGCTGAAAAAAAGAAGAAAAAAAAGCATTGTCACTAAGGTGACTATCTGAACATGCAATTTAACATGCTGAAATCTTCAGTCTCTGTGACCTAAAAATAAAGTGAAGGACACCAAATACGACTGGGCCCTGTGCCTTCACTGGATAAAGCTTGGTATTGAATATGAAGAAAATCCAGGGAACGGTTCTTGAGATAGCTTAACATGCAGGTAAAACGTTAAAGTCCCCTTGTGACCTTGAAATGAAGGTCAAGGTCACTAAACCTGACTTGGTCCTTTCTTCTACTGTGATGAAGCTAGGTACCAAATATGAAAAGAATCTAGTCAACAGTTCTTAAGATATCCCAATTCGTATGTACGTGCGTACGGATGGACAGAGCCTAACACAATAAAAAAAAATATAGCATTTGGATTGAATACATCATATTTAGAATTTATAACCAGTTCCTCTGGCTAGCTGTCAGTGTTTGTCTGAACTATAAAGCATGACCAGTTGATGCAAAGAGATATTTCTGAAAGGCATGTAATACTTCCAGTCCATATTCACAACACCGCCTAAAATAGCCAGGCAAATAGCAACATATTGCGTAAGATATATACATACATGTAGCTGCATTTAGAAAAGTTTTACATGAAATGTCAATAATGCACTTGAACTCGATAACAATTCGATAACAATAATAAGAAAAAGTCAAAGCCTGCAAGAGACAAAATTCAAAATGCCACAACAAGTTAGTTTACATACCATATAAATATGTAATTTTCTGACTAAAATTGATATTTTATACTTATACTGACTCATGCTAATTATGCTTGTCTCCTTCCTCTTGCGAATGATAGTGGAACACTTGAAATCCCTTGAAGTTCCCACTAAAAAAGCGGACGTAAAATCACTCACCCATAAGTAGTGTCCCTTTCCTCCCTTTTGGCGCCTAAATGGTCACATGATCGGCCATATTTGTCACTCTCTCCGCATGTAAGCCTGACACCCGGATTTACAGGGAAATCCAGAGTGCCAAAGAGGGGAGGTTGGGAGGGCTAACCTCATAAGTCAGGATAAGGGAGGAAGGGACGCTACTCGTGGGTGAGTGATTTCACGCTTTTTTAGATGGGAAATTCAAGAGATTTCAAGTGTTCCACTATCATTCACAAGAGGAAAGAGACAAGCATAATTAGCATGAGTCAGGATAAGGAAAAATATATACATATCAAATTTCTTCATGACACAGGCAGAAATGTCTCAGAAAGAGCAAAAAAGTTACATTTTAAATATGGCTACCCAGGCGGCCATGGCTGAGAGAAGATCAGAGCACAGAGCTGTGAGCACTTGAGAGACACCACAATCCTATAAAGTTGTACCTTCACAACCCTTATGGTTTCATTTGACATGTTTGAGAAGTAACATCATTATAGAATGGAGAACAACTGTGCATTCATCTCTACTGCTTCTCTTATAACAGTAAGGATGTAACATGTATGTGAGATGGCGTCCCTGTTACATTTAGAAGTGTCTGCCTCTGAGAGGGTCACTTATTCTTGTGACTGCTTGTCCCACTTATTAAAATAAAAAAACAAAATAAGTACAGCTTTTGATACTTATACCAGTTACAGACTGAGTCAGTGAGTATGGTTTTACGCCGCTTTTAGCAATATTCCAGCAATATCACGATGGGGACACCATAAATGGGCTACACACATTGTACCCATGAGGGGAATTGAACCCAGGTCTTTGGCGTGACGAACCACGTTTAACCACAAGGCTATCCTACCACCCCAGTTACAGAATGAGATCAAAGATAATGTTAAAATCATAACGGTAAAATATGAAGGAAAATTGCAAAATTTCAGCTATGGCAAATTTGTACATAGTTTTTCAGAAACAATTATAGTATTTTCTAAATGCTCATTCATCACAGAGTTTAACATTATACGTCATTTTTCAGTGAGTGAGTGAGTTTAGCTTTACCCCGCTTTTAGCAATATTCCCGCAATATCACAGCAGGGGACACCAGAAATAGGCTTCACACATTGTAGCCATGTGGGGACGAGAACCCGGAACGCTTTAACCACTAGGCTACCCCACCACCCCATCATTGTTTCAGGCACATGAACACACATTTGTTATCCTGCTTACACCTTCTTAACTTTCTTCAAAAGCTCCTTGAAGCAATATTGCTGGCTAACTAATACATGACATACACAACTGCTCTGCTAGATCAAGGACCTCTCTTATTAGCAGCACTTACACAATAACTTTCTTGTAGATGCCATCCTTGTTGACGGAGTAGAGTGATGGAAAGGTAGTGATGCCAAACTTTGTAACATCTGCTTTTAACATTCGTCGCACCAGGATGCTGGGCTGGTTCATCGTGTCCAAGATAACCTGTAAGACAATGGGTGATAGTATCACCTGGTTAGTGTTGCTTTACACAAGTTAGTAGATATTACAGTTTTATCCTTGGGATCTGAGCCCCTCAACAATACAGAATCAGTCAACAATGTTACAGCTGGGACCCGATCCCACCAACAATACTACAGCTGGGACCCAATCCCACCAACAATACTCCAGCTGGGACCCCAATCCCACCAACAATACTACAGCTGGGACCAAATCCAACCAACTATACACCAACTAATACTACTACAGCTGGGACCCAATCCCACCAACAACACTACAGATGAGACCCGATCCCACCAACAACACTACAGATGAGACCCGATCCCACCAACAATACTACAGCTGGGACCGATCCCACCAACAATACTACAGCTGGGACCGGATCCCACCAACAATGCAACAGCTGGGACCCGATCCCACCAACAATACAACAGCTGGGACCCAATCCCACCAACAATACAACAGCTGGGACCCGATCCCACCAACAATACTACAGCTGGGACCCGATCCCACCAACAATGCAACAGCTGGGACCCAATCCCACCAACAATACTCAAGCTGGGACCCAATCCCACCAACAATGCTACAGCTTGGACCCAATCCCACAAACAACACTACAGATGAGACCCGATCCCACCAACAATACAACAGCTGGGACCGGATCCCACCAACAATACTACAGCTGGGACCGGATCCCACCAACAATACTCCAGCTGGGACCCAATCCCACCAACAACACAACAGCTGGGACCCGACCCCACAAACAACACAACAGCTGGGACCCGACCCCACAAACAATACTTTAGCTGGGACCCAATCCCACCAACAATACTACAGCTGGGACCCAATCCCACCAACAATACTACAGCTGGGACTCAATCCCACCAACAATACTACAGCTGGGACCGGATCCCACCAACAATACAACAGCTGGGACCCGACCCCACCAACAATACTACAGCTGGGACCCAATCACACCAACAATGCTACAGCTGGGACCCGATCCCACCAACAATACTACAGCTGGGACTCAATCCCACCAACAATACTACAGCTGGATCCCACCAACAATACTACAGCTGGGATCCCACCAGCTGGGACAATACACCAACACAACAGCTGGGACCCAATCCCACCAACAATACAACAGCTGGACCCGATCCCACCAACAATACTACAGCTGGGACCCAATCACAACAGCTGGGACCCGACCCCACCAACAATACTCCAGCTGGGACCTGATCCCACCAACAATACTACAGCTGGGACTCAATCCCACCAACAATACTACAGCTGGGACCGGATCCCACCAACAATACTACAGCTGGGACCCAATCCCACCAACAATACTACAGCTGGGACCCAATCCCACCAACAATACTACAGTTGGGACCTGGGTGCCCTTCCACTAACCGATCTTATCTAAGATCAATCTTAGCAAGTTACGCCAATTTTACAATCGTCTTAGCTAAAAGTTACACCCGTTCCACTAACCGATCTTAGGCCGATCGTAGCCGGTCCCGATCTTACAATTCGATCCAAGCTTAGATCGAGACTCTTTCGTGCGAGAGATAGAGGAATGCGAGGCACGAGTTATCTCCCTTTGCATAGTCTAGCAAATGATGGAAGTAGTTTACAAACCAACTGAATGAGTGAGTGAGTTTAGATTTACGCCGCACTCAGCAATAGTCCAGCTATATGGCGGCAGTCTGTAAATAATCTAGCTAGGATGCATAGCGTTCACTTACATGAGCGTTCATGTTAGTGAACGCTATGTATCTTAGCAATAAATAATCGAGTCTGGACCAGACAATACAGTGACCAACAGCATGAGCATCGATCTGCACATTTGGGAACCGATGACATGTGTCAACCAAGTCAGCGAGCCTGACCACCCGATCCCGTTAGTGGCCTCTTACGACAAGCATGGGTTATTGAACTTCAATATTCTAACCAGGTCCTTCATGAGTATTTTTCCAACCAAGTGTAAACGTGGAGAAAAAAACTAGAGCAAAATATTAGGGTAGTGAGCACCTTGGTTTCAGGTGCAAGTGCGTGTGAATGCTGGGTATCAGGCATACTATAATAATAATAAATGCATATTTATAGTGCGCCTATTCCACATCCTGGGGCATGCTCAAGGAGCTATGTACAGATAATTTACACGAGAGTATTTACAGCCGAGATTATAAGTAATATAGATTACTGAGAACAAGTTTTAAGTCTGAACTTTAAAAATGTCAATTGTGTCAGATTAATATGTCACCGTTGTGCCTGAACCTTGTCAATCAGAATAAACAAGCCGTGAGGAGGCTATAACGTATGTAGAATCTGTCAGTGGTCTTGAATAACAGGCAGCCTGCCTTTAGAATCCCCCACCAAATATGCCCAGTGAAATCAAACATATTTGTATCTTTTTGCTTCAGAACATTGTTCACTTCACAGCTGTCCCTATTCTTAACCATGACGTTGCAAAATTGTTGTACAAATGTGTTGTTTACACCACACTTATACGCTCGGTTGTGTTCCCATGACGACAGTGGTCAGACTGGCCTGACATTTGTAAGGCTTCAGTGCAGTGTTTGTTTACATCACACAAATATACAAATTCATTTCATGGGGGATTTTAGGGGACGCTCACGGTGAAATGCTCGCTCTTATTTTTCACATAGAACAGGAAAGGCACCATTTTGGTTTCTCTACGATTGATTTTAGCTATCCTAAGTTGGTCATGAGCAACTTAGACTTTGAATCTTAACTTTACGATTGACTTCGGTAAGATTGGTTAGTGGAACAGTATGCCGATCGTAACGTCACGCTAAGATTGGGACTTAGGGCTAAGATCGGTTAGTGGAACGGCACCCTGATCTCCTCAACAATACTACAGCCGGGACCTGATATTGCGGCTGGGAAAAGACCCCAACAATACTAGAGAGAATCAGTAAGCAATATCATGAAGATGTTGATGTTAGGACTGTTGATGTCAGTGTGTTGCTGGTTGTGGTTGTATTGTTGACATTCACTTCAATAAGCTAATCTATATATCCTTTCCCCTACCTCTCTTCCCAGTGCTGATTTGGGATCTTCAAAAATAAGGAAAACATATTCATGGTGCTCTTTAGCTTCTGTCCAGATTTCTTGTATGGTTCTGAAATGGCAATATTGCAGCTGTACATATCAAAATAGAAACTTATGACCACATACATGGTATATGGCATCCTTGATAATCTCCAGGGTGTATGTTGCGATAAATCTCCACTAGTACCCTGGATGCATCTACGGCTAATTTTTTTACCTCGCTTTGCTGGTCCACCTTCTTATAGTAGCCAATCAGATAAGCCGTTACAACAGAGCTTGCCAGTTTCAACAAAGATAGCAGCTGCAGCTGCGAAGGTTTGTTCGCCGTGTGATTCATTCAGATTTAGGGAAAAATCATACAGACAAACTGACAGGTCTGAAACCTTAAAAAAATATATATCCAAGAACTCCTTCTACCTCTTTAAGAGAGAGTGAGTTATGATAGAAGCCTTGTGATTTGTACGCTCAACTTCCCAGCGTAGACACCTGATTGGATCAAAAGCCAGCAAAGGGAGGTAATAAATTTGTAGATGCATCCAAGGTACTAGTGGAGATTTATAGGAATGTATGTACCCTTGAGATTATCGAGGATGTGTATATGGATGAATACAGAAAATCAGAAAAGAGCAATGAAAATCAACAAAAGGTGCCATAGCACTGCAGCTCAGCTGGATTTGTAGTGAATATTTAGAAACGAAAAACAGCATTGAACAGGATGCTGTCACCACTGAAATATCAACATAATTTCTACATAAATGCTGAGGACAGACACTAAAATTTGACAAATTTAACAAAATATGATTTGGAGAAACATACATGATTAAGTCAAATTCCATAAATTTGCCAGTTCAAGTAGAGCATGGTCAAACATGAAATTTAATACTGCAATTCAGACATCTTCACATGAAACATTGGTGGCCTTCATCAGATTATGTATGGATTAGACTATGCTCAGATGGACCCCTAGTGAAAGCTTAATGCAAATCCGAGTGATAAGTATTAAGGCTGTTACGATTCACTCACATATTCAGTGAATCGAACCATTGCCCTTCATGAATTCAATTCGTTATTCATGGCCACCAGAACCGAATATTCATGATTATTTACAATTTTTTTAAAGGTGTCCCTTTAACTTGAACCCTTATGTCCTTTTTCAGAATGAGATATGCAAGAATGAAATATGTACTAGCCTTGTAGTACCGCAAGTCATGTTAGTTTTCCAAGGCCGCACATGTTACTGTCAGCTATAACTATTAGATACCAAATTTGAGTGTCATGAGCTCACTGGTTATTGCTGTGACAAATTAACACTGTCAACATGGGCATTCAATATTGTGCATCAATCACTTAACTTCAATATTGTATTCATGAATAATTATATGTATTCGTTACCCAATATTCGTGATACGTATCATATTCGCCACATAGTGTATTCGTTACAGCCCTAATAAGTATACAGACTCAAGCTGCATGACAAGTCCAAATGAGCTTAAAGGCAGAATGTCACATCATATTTCTCTTAAAAATACATGATGTATTTCTCTCAATAATACTAACTATCAGCCCTCAGGGAAGCTATCATATAATTTATTCCAAAATCAATTACGTACTTGGATTACAATATTAAATGAAACGTTCGAATGAATTAATGCAACGTTGCGTTAAATCGACTCTCGCGCCCTCTACCGGCTGAACATTATTTCAAGCGCACCCCATAGAGTTATGTCCCTTGGAGCACTCTTTACGAATATTATAACGCAACTTGTGATTGAAAACCAGTTCGGCAAACACCCACAACATCGCGTGCGACAGTTTTCGATGTACGGAACAATCGTGTTCGCCTCGAAGTTTCAATTATCGATTTCAGGCAAGTCATGAGGAATAATAAGTCTCTTATTGCATCAATAGGAAGCTAAAGTGAGTGCATATGCCCTCAATATATAAAATATTGGCCAAAATATTTTGAAAATGTGTGACATTGTGCCTTTAAAAATTCTACACCATTACTTGCTCAAGCCCATTAATGTGACATAATGTACATCTACAACTCATGATACCTGACACCTGAAAACTCAACAATCTCTCGCGATGTTTAGTATCACACTATCAAATATCTAGAAAATATGTACTTAGCAGTCTAAGTAAACTTAGGCTCAGTATTATTCATTACACTGCTATACTGAGTCTAACAAACCCTAGTAGAAGGTCATGTCAGCTTTTGAGCGACCTATGACCGTCCAATCAAACGCGAAAAGGCTGAACGGATTTAACCAGTCAGACAATGACTACTATTTAGGGTTCAGCGGGACTTACAAAATGTTTTGGGATTTTCTCTTCCCTGGTCGCTGACACTGATCTGATAAGGACAAAAGTTTATGGATGAACAACTTCTTTATTCGGGTGCATCATCCGAATAAAGAAGTTGTTCATCCATAAACTTTTGTCCTTATCTGAATCTCCAACTACTAAACATGCCATTTAAAGAAGTTGACACTGATCTCTCAACAAACGAAAATTCACATAAAACACAGATATTTGACCTGCAGTATATATGCTTAGGGGTTTCTGATGACATGGTTACTGTTAGCTTATATTTACGCAAGATGACATCCTGGAATATTGACAAAAACTCTATTTTCAGCGACTGTTTACTCATTGTGTGTATCACTCGGAAGCGATCGTGCGGAAAATAACATTCGGAATCGTTCGTCTTTTTAGGTAACGGTTCAAACAGTATGTGCGAATGTTAACTTTCGCGATTTGGTAAGCTGAGTTCTGATTGGTCAGTCCAAAAGGTCTTGTGGTCCCTGGCTAGAAAAACTTCATCCGGGCCACTAAATGATAAGTTTGCAGTGGTCCTGGTGGCCAGTGAATTTTTAAAAGTAAATCTATGAATGTTATTTTGGACCAGTGAAGTACAGCAGAGCTCCAGATAAGCTGTGTATTTGTGTATAATACGCTATAGAAAAATTGAAATATGCAAGAAAAATAAATGCCAGCATATGAAAAAACACTAAATATTTACGTTTACGCTATGTCAAAATAAGAATGCGTATTTACCCAATACATCAAAATTATGTTGGTATCGTATCAATTCAAGACAATTGAAACAAACTTTTCCATCTCCAAATATTCGCGATTAAAATATTCTTGAATAATTCTAAATGCAATTAAGATGAGCAATGCAGTTAAAATACCAGTCATGATTTGTTAACCCTTCACTGGTTGGCCAATCTATAAATAGCGACCAATCAAATAGCTGTTTCCTGCATACATGTCCATTCGTGACCAACTCATGTTATTCCGGGACAAGCCAAATAGCGACTCGTGCCCCTCTGGAAGGAGCGAGTGAGTTTAGTTTTACACTGCACTCAGCAATATTCCAGCTATATGGCGGCTGTCTGTCAATAATCGAGTCTGGACCAGACAATCCAGTGATCAACAGCATGAGCATCGATCTGCGCAATTAGGAACCGATGACATGTGTCAACCAAGTCAGGGAGCCTGACCACCCGATCCCGTTAGTCACGTTATACGACAAGCATAGTCGCCTTTTTGGCAAGCATGGGTTGCTGAAGACCTATTCTACCCCGGATCTTCACAGGTCCCCTCTGGAAGGATTTCATATTGGCGCATGAACATCAGAACTACTTTAAGCAAGAACGATAACTCTATCTCTGTTTGATTCCAATGTTTTCCAAAGCACTCGCACACTGTGGTTCTACTTATATATTTTAAAGCATGAAACCTCTTGATACAACTCTAAAAGGAGAAAAACATATTTGTTGAAGACATATTCAGCTGTTCACCTTATATTCCAATTTAATCATCACAAATGACAATTGTTTAATTGAATATGCGAAAAATATATTAAACAATCACCTACATTAAATCCCAAAGCAGATGCTCAAAAAATGACTTTAAAATATTCCTCAAACTGAACATTTGTGTAACCTTGCTGTCATGGTTAAATTTTAAATGAATTCGCTGATGAATGACCAAAAAAATGTCAGAATAAGATATGATATCACCAGAGACGTGAAACATAAGCCCAATGTTTAAGATTAAACTTGATTAGTTACATACAGATATAATATTATTGTTTTGAAACTCGTAGCGATATATAATGGCATTTCCTGAAAATGTTGGAAGCCGCTCGTACGATCTCCAAAACAAGCCCACAAGACCGTCAGAAATACACTCAATTGGACCCAAGAGGGCCGTTATGTCAACATATGTGTATTTGAATCGCTCACCGTCCATGGCACAATCCTTACTAAAACCTACACGAGGCAACACAGTTCTGTTAGCTACGTTCTTTGTGCTTTCAATATGACGATATATATTTTTCATGATTTTTTAAACAATGACATAATGCCATATGTACCTATTTAAGTACAGGGGATTATTTCTATCAAAGCACGGCAATCATTGCACTCGTTCTGATTGGTTTGTCGTATTTTCGCACATAACAAGCATTGATCGGGGGACGAGTCTTCTTGGAGGTTAAGGAAAGGGGCGAGTGGTGATGAATGGTACATGTCCCGTAAACAAAGCAATCATGGTCGAAAGCTTCCACGCGCTCAAAGTAAAATATCTAGGTTTTTTATGCTACAAACAGAAAACAACTTCATTAGAGGACTGCTAGATGAATTAATATTATGCTGTGTTTCTCAATCAGAATCAATTCCCGGTGATATCTAAATGAACTTGTAACAGCTGTTCGCGGCGTGGAAGTGAAAAAACCCCCGATGGGAACAAGGTTTTGAAAAAAAAAAGTTGTTGCGATACGTGGAAAAGAAAATATCCATGGTTAATTTTGAATAAAAAAGGTCTTATGAGGTCATGTTGTAGTGTGTGTCAGGCACATCTCTTACACTTGTTATTTGATATGAATACCCGGATCTTAAAAATATATGGTGGGTATCAAAAAGTATAGATACCCACTTGAAATTGGAAATACCCACTTAGTTTAAAAAGTATGGGTATCATACCTACATGGTCAAAGGCTTATCTGAAGCTCTGGTACAGACAGGACCACTAATGATTGTCCACTCATCGGTCCTGTGGTCAAGTGGGAAAGTTTGAAAGGTTTCTTTCCCTGTGTAGGTGATGTAAATTTCAGGGAACACCAAAAAAGATCTTATTTTGACTTGTAATAATCAATGTTCTTTTTTTCTAAAAGCCATAAAAAAGTTTATGAGAACTATTTTTAACCAACATACAAGTACCGGTACCATAACCACAACATACAAGTATCATAACCACAACATACAAGTACCATAAGTTGTTGTGGACAAAAACTAAAGATCATTTCAGTGATTGCAGTGTAGGATCCAAGTGGCAAAGCCAGCTGGAGATACTGATGTGTATGTAGCAGCCAGTGATCTATTTTGTCTGTATGACTATATGAGTGTGCACCAGCTGGCGAGACACTCAGCCACCTGTTCCTCACATGCTTAACAAGCTAAGGATGGGATAGGAGCAGTTGATGACATGGTAATGTAAATCGACTGACAGAAAAATTCTATGGTGCATACATGCAGGTGTCCATCATTTACATAATTGCTATTGTAAAAAGATGTACGTATACTGAATGATGTCTGTCATCATTATCTACTAACCAGCTCCAGACTTATTTCTAAACTCTATCAAGAAATCATGCTGCCTGAAAAAAGTTCGAGCCTGACAATGATGGCTTCACACCTCTTCTTTCAAGTTTGGGCAAAGGTGGAGAGATAGTGGCAAAATGTTGATTACAAAAGATGGTTAATGAGTTCAATGCCATTGTCATACATTGCAGTCATGACAACAACAGCACTAATGAAATGCATTTGAAATATACACTAATATTGATACACGATTGACATATAATAAAATCTACTGCAACAGTATGGGCCAAATGGCATTAATAAAAGGATTTGTTAACATATGATTTTAGGTGTAAAACGCCAAATTGAGACACACATGCAGTCTGCATTACTGTCTGCAACAAAAATGCATTTTAGAGTAAAAATGTTAGGTAGAAGGCACAACAGATCCCCTTCTTGTGAAGATAGCCATTATGGGTTTGGTTACGCAGCCATAGATATTCCAAAAGAAAGTATCTTACATTGGTAATGTTGACATTGGTACATGAAGTGCAGGTATACTAGCACATAGTAAGGTATATAAATGTTTCCATTTCCTTATAAAGGGATCTAAGCTATTGTTTTTCCTAGCTATATATTTTTCAGTTGTATATATATCTTTTAATAACTTAAGAAATCCCTCAAGGGAAAGTGTTTGTTGTTTTATACTTGAAACATAAATGAATCTTTTGGCAAGAAGTATAATATGGTTTAGTATTTTATTGTTTGAGAACATTCCAAACATGATAGTGAATTTTGTAAATGTGACATCACACTGGAGGTGGGCATTTAGAAATTGTTCTACTTTTCGCCAAAAGTTTTTAACTAAATCACAGTAAAAAATACATGCAATATGTCTTCTGAGGTATTTTTACAAAAAGTACAAGTATCATTATCAACTAGCTTCATCTTCAATAGTTCTTTCTTTGTATAGATTATTCTGTAAATAAATCTGTACTGAAAATCTAACAGCTTACAATCATTTGTGCATTTCCTGTAATATCTGAATACATTACTCCACATTATATCCTGCTGAAAGACAGTTTTCCAATACTCTAGTACTTTAGGGGTATTGTTGTTCTTAATCAATTTATCATAGAATATCCTTGAAACTTTAATATTTAAACTTCCTGGACTCTTGATTAATGGGGATGTGTAGATACACATATTGAAGATCTATGCTTTGTTGGGCTATCTCAGTTGCTGAAACTATTGAAGATGGAACATTTTGAACTTCTCTGGTTGTTAAAGATACTTCTTGTTGAATATCTGGTTTAGAATTGGTCTTCAGCAACCCATGCTTGTCACAAGAGATGACTAATGGGATTGAGAGGCTTGGTTGTCACATGTCATCATACCCCATTTGCATAGATATATGTTCATGACGTCAATCACTGGATTGTCTGGTCCAGACTTAATTTTTAACAGACCGCCACTATATAGTGCTGAGTGTGGTATTAAACAAAACACAAACATATCGTATTGAACTCCTGTATGTTGTAGATTATCAGAGGGGTACACAAAGTCCGCAGTCTAGACTACCAGTTGTCCGACTTCCATTTTGGTGGAAGTTGCAGTGGCTGATTTAGGTGTCTGACTCTGTGGGTGTGGGTTCGAATCCCAGATGGGACTCAACCCAACAAAAGTACTAGAATCTGTCCTTTACTGAGAAAGTGCAATCCCAAATATAACATATGTTACAGAATTTCTCATTTGAATTTTGCTTCGGCACCAGAAAGATTGGAGGATAAAATCCTCGAGCTAGGTCTTCTGGTTGAGTAATCTCTACTGCTCTCCTTGACTAGAAGTGAGTTTAGAGCTTCTGACAACTTTGGTAGAAGAATCTTTGAATATATACTGAGGGAAAAAAAGCGTTGTATCGCATAGCTTGTGAAGAAACCTGGAAACAAATAAAGGAACACTTGTGCTTTCATGTGATCCCTTATTTTTTTCCCTCAGTATATCATCCTTGGAGGATCTACTGTTATGGGTGATTCCTCCCTTCTTATTGGTCTAGAGCTCATCTTGAGAAGCTTCGATACAAATGGGTCTTTTAGATTCCTCCAATTTTCCCAATAAGTTGTCAGTCTTCCATCCAAGGTTGATGGTTGCACTTGAACAGCTGTTGTGTAATGTTCAGAACCAGACATTCAACACCGAAAGCAAGAAACTTTGGAGCCTCTACCTCCACTGAGGTTGATCCCTTGTTTTTCACAGGGCTTGCAAAAATTGGAGAACTGGGTCTTCTGTGCTCAGTTTTCAGAATACCAGAAAAACAACTTCTAAATGGTTTTCTCTGCATAGACTGTCTGAACATGGAGTTCATTAATGTTTCCACTGCATCTCAGGTCAAGGGAGAGAGAAGAAGCTAGCATGAGTCAGGATAAGGAAATATTGTGTATTCCACACACGATATTCTGACGGTCATCAAAACTGTCATTCTTGTTGTAAATAAATGACCTGAAGATTGAACTACAAATAGGTGAAAGGATTTTAAGTGGAGATTGTTACATGGATGATGGATCAAACATGTGAGTGGGATTTCCTTCAAAATACGGCACAGGAGACTTAATAAAACGCAGCATCTGTGAACAAGATCAGGGATTGTTTATTCATTACAGGGATTTATCTAAGGACAGTTTCTTCCCCTAGATTCTGTCCCCTCCCTATATTAGATGACCAGTTCCTCAACAACATTCCAATCTACAACCATATTTGAAACATAGAATACCCTCAACAGGGAAAGAAACCTTTCAAAATTTCCCATTAGACCACAGAACCAGTGAGTGGACAATGTTTAGTGGTCCTGTCTGTACTTCACTGGTCCAAAGCAGCATTTGTAGATTTACTAACTATCAATACAAAATTCACCAGGACCACTGCAAACATTTCATTTAGTGGTTCTGATGAATTTTTACTAGCCAGGGACCACAGGACCAGCGTAAATTTCGCACAATGCTCAATGTCACTGGTTGTATAATATATGAGCAGTCTATAAATAATTCATTGTCTTTCACATATGTAGATGGTTGACCGTGGTGTGAACTTACCTCAGTGGCTGTAGCCTTGGCCAGGATAGTGGAGCTGTGGAATTCATCGAGTCTAGGCACTTGAAGGTGAAGCTTAGCAAGCGGTCAAAGTCATGTCCCCCAGCCAGAGTGTGTGCCGCTGTTTGAAAGGAGGCTTGTTTGTTGGCATGGGGCTTAAAGAACTGCCAAAAGAGGAAACCGAGTTACTGAATCGTTATAGTACTGCTGATGGTACTATTACTGCACTCAACAACTTAAACTTGGACTATTTTTTATTAACAAAATCACGGATAAAACCGTTTTCTCATTGCCACTGAACAAGCTCTTCAACTGCTGATCTTAACACAATGTACAAGGCATACATCAGTTGTGGGTCAAACATGTAAACATTTATGTCATCCCAGACAGTCACTAGTCACATGTCTGTATGTATCTTACTTTCTCTCCATGTACATACTGTTGCCCCAGTCACTAGTCATAAGTCTGTATGTATCGGTAACTTTCTCTCCCTGTACATACTGATGCTGCCCCAGTCACTAAAGTACTGTCGGAAATGCTAGAAAAATGCTTTTTGACTTATATTTAAAATTCAGAGGTATTACAGTTACTTAAATAACAAATATCACTTCAAGAAACATCTACCTAATGTAGACCGAGGGAATAAATTTTGAGACATGCTCTAAAATGTGTTTTTACTGATGAAAATATAAAAAACATAGAAAAATAAGGGGTAGTGGGACGTTATTTGATACAAACATTAACTGCCTGTGTAACGTCATCAGCATGCACGGTATCGACAGGTGAAATTGACACCTGAGCACACGCTCGGGGAGGGGCCATCTCAATAGATGTTTTCTGCAAAATGTTGAATATGTAATGCATTATATATCATTATTGGTTATGTAAGTGATCATTTGTGTATGTGTGTTTGTTTTGAAATAAACATACGAATTACTGTACATTGGAAAGAATCCTATCACTTGTGTTATCTTATCGATTGATTGTAGAAATGTGCAACGTTTTAATAAATGTTTTGCATGTCAACAGTATATTTCATTGAAAAAATATGGATGTAATTCGGGTCAGTTTAATCTAGTTGTGAACATTGGCAAAGATTTAACTTGAAGTCACTGGTGTAGCTTCTTTAGAATATATACATTCTTCTTCTCATAAAGTTTGTAGACCGACCGTCTAAGCACTCCCTTGTCAAAGTTGTCAAGGATGGTTTTACGTCCGGTTTTGCTTTTGAGGCGGCCCCTGTCTTGTCTGATTTGTTTACAATATTGTAAACTTGTTGGTAAGACATACCAACAGCTCTACAAGTTCTGTAATAAACCCTTTCTAAACTAATGAAAGGTTTACCTCTGTCTTTTTCAAGCAGAAAAAACTTATAAACCTTTGCAATAATCGACTGCAAATCATTGGCCATAGTGGACGCTGAACGTGATAAAGATGTGCATGCATGATGGGAAACTTATTTATCAAGACTTAACATTTATATTAATATTTCTTCAATAAAGAAACGATCATTAAGTAAAATAACACAAACATTCAACATTTATTTGTTTAAGAAAAACGTTAATTCATATTTTTACACTACCTGTATTATTAGCATAAATGTAAAGACTATTTCAGATTTCTGTTGTTGAACTCTGAAAAAATCTTAAGTTGCTGTTTTGGTACCAAATTCTCTCCTGTAAACTGCCCTTTAAATGCATGGGAATGTTAAATCGATTGAAATAAAAATTAGGTACACTATAGGCGAGTTGATATATTGACAACATAGTATATTTATCACCTTTATAAAGATATTAAGGCTAAAAAGCATTTTTCTAGCATTTCCGACAGTACTTTAGTCACATGTCTGTATGTAACTTTCTCTCCCTGTACATACTGATGTTGCCCCAGTCACTAGTCACATGTCTGTATGTAACTTTCTCTCCATGTACATACTGATGTTGCCCCAGTCACTAGTCATATGTCTGTATGTTACTTTCTCTCCATGTACATACTGATGCTGCCCCAGTCACTAGTCACATGTCTGTATGTAACTTTCTCTCCATGTACATACCGATGCTGCCCCAGTCACTAGTCACATCTCTGTATGTAACTTTCTCTCCCTGTACATACTGATGCTGCCCCAGTCACTAGTCACATGTCTGTCTGTATGTTACTTTCTCTCCCTGTACATACTGATGCTGCCCCAGTCACTAGTCACACATCTGTATGTAACTTTCTCTCCCTGTACATACTGATTCTGCCCCAGTCACATGTCTGTATGTAACTTTCTCTCCCTGTACATACTGATGCTGCCCCAGTCACTAGTCACATGTCTGTATGTAACTTTCTCTCCCTGTACATACTGATGTTGCCCCAGTCACTAGTCACATGTCTGTATGTAACTTTCTCTCCCTGTACATACTGATGCTGCCCCAGTCACTAGTCACATGTCTGTATGTTACTTTCTCTCCCTGTACATACTGATGCTGCCCCAGTCACATGTCTGTGTGTGTATCTTTCTCTCCCTGTACATACTGATGCTGCCCCAGTCACATGTCTGTATGTTACTTTCTCTCCCTGTACATACTGATGCTGCCCCAGTCACTAGTCACACATCTGTATGTAACTTTCTCTCCCTGTACATACTGATTCTGCCCCAGTCACATGTCTGTATGTAACTTTCTCTCCCTGTACATACTGATGCTGCCCCAGTCACTAGTCACATGTCTGTATGTAACTTTCTCTCCCTGTACATACTGATGTTGCCCCAGTCACTAGTCACATGTCTGTATGTAACTTTCTCTCCCTGTACATACTGATGCTGCCCCAGTCACTAGTCACATGTCTGTATGTTACTTTCTCTCCCTGTACATACTGATGCTGCCCCAGTCACATGTCTGTATGTAACTTTCTCTCCCTGTACATACTGATGCTGCCCCAGTCACATGTCTGTATGTTACTTTCTCTCCCTGTACATACTGATGCTGCCCCAGTCACTAGTCACATGTCTGTATGCTACTTTCTCTCCCTGTACATACTGATGCTGCCCCAGTCACTAGTCACATGTCTGTATGTTACTTTCTCTCCCTGTACATACTGATGCTGCCCCAGTCACATGTCTGTATGTTCTCTCCCTTTACTCTGCCCCTGTACATACTGTGATGCTGCCCCAGTCTAGTCACATGTCTGTATGTAACTTTCTCTCCCTGTACATACTGATGTTGCCCCAGTCACTAGTCACATGTCTGTCCTGTAACTTTCTCTCCCTGTACATACTGATGCTGCCCCAGTCTTTACATGTCTGTATGTCTGTCTTTACTTTCTCCCTGTACATACTGATTTGCCCCAGTCACTAGTCACATGTCTGTATGTTACTTTCTCCTCCATACTTTGTACATACTGATGCTGCCCCAGTCACTAGTCACATGTCTGTATGCTACTTTCTCTCCCTGTACATACTGATGCTGCCCCAGTCCCCAGTCACATGTCTGTATGTAACTTTCTCTCCCTGTACATACTGATGCTGCCCCAGTCACATGTCTGTATGTTACTTTCTCTCCCTGTACATACTGATGCTGCCCCTGTCCCAGTCACATGTCTGTTTGTATGTACATTACTTTCTCTCTTTCTCTCCCTGTACATACTGATGCTGCCCCAGTCACATGTCATGTCTGTCTGTATACTTTCTCTCCCCTGTACATACTGATGCTGCCCCAGTCACATCCCTGTCTGTCTGTCTGTATGTTACTTTCTCTCCCTGTACATACTGATGCTGCCCCAGTCACTAGTCACATGTCTGTATGTTACTTTTCTCTCCTGTACATACTGATGCTGCCCCCAGTCACATGTCTGTCTGTATGTTACTTTCTCTCCCTGTACATACTGATGCTGCCCCAGTCACATGTCTGTCTGTATGTAACTTTCTCTCCCCTGTACATACTGATGCTGCCCCAGTCACATGTCTGTCTGTATGTAACTTTCTCTCCTGTACATACTGATGCTGCCCCAGTCACATATCTGTCTGTATGTTACTTTCTCTCCCTGTATATACTGATGCTGCCCCAGTCACATGTCTGTCTGTATCTTACTTTCTCTCCCTGTACATACTGATGCTGCCCCAGTCACATGTCTGTCTGTATGTTACTTTCTCTCCCTGTACATACTGATGCTGCCCCAGTCACATGTCTGTCTGTCTGTTACTTTCTCTCCCTGTACATACTGATGCTGCCCCAGTCACTAGTCACATGTCTGTATGTTACTTTCTCTCCCTGTACATACTGATGCTGCCCCAGTCACATGTCTGTCTGTATGTTACTTTCTCTCCCTGTACATACTGATGCTGCCCCAGTCACATGTCTGTCTGTATGTTACTTTCTCTCCCTGTACATACTGATGCTGCCCCAGTCACATGTCTGTCTGTATGTAACTTTCTCTCCCTGTACATACTGATGCTGCCCCAGTCACATGTCTGTCTGTATGTTACTTTCTCTCCCTGTACATACTGATGCTGCCCCAGTCACATGTCTGTCTGTATGTTACTTTCTCTCCCTGTACATACTGATGCTGCCCCAGTCACATGTCTGTCTGTATGTTACTTTCTCTCCTGTACATACTGATGCTGCCCCAGTCACATGTCTGTCTGTATGTAACTTTCTCTCCTGTACATACTGATGCTGCCCCAGTCACATGTCTGTCTGTATGTTACTTTCTCTCCCTGTACATACTGATGCTGCCCCAGTCACATGTCTGTCTGTATGTTACTTTCTCTCCCTGTACATACTGATGCTGCCCCAGTCACATGTCTGTCTGTATGTAACTTTCTCTCCCTGTACATACTGATGCTGCCCCAGTCACATATCTGTCTGTATGTTACTTTCTCTCCCTGTACATACTGATGCTGCCCCAGTCACATGTCTGTCTGTATGTTACTTTCTCTCCATATACGTTGGTCGATCAAAAAGTATGTTGACTAACTGTATTCTCGATGTCCAATGTTTGGAAAGCTTCCATTTTATATTGAAGGAATCTTTAGCAAAGTCATATCCAAAATTTCACATATGTGGGTAATGTGGTTAACGAGATATTACTCATCACAACACATTGGGGTATAACACTTCTAACAAACCTGCAGAAAATGAAAAACGATCTGTCATTTGGTACCTCTTGGATAATGGTATGCCCTCAGAGTATATCATATATAATATGTTCAGTATAGTATTGGATGACTTCCCATCATAATCAACAGTCAAAGATTTGGATTGCTTAATTTATATTTAGTCGACAGTCTAAGTAAACTTAGGGTCAGTATTATTCGTTACACTGCTATACTGAGTCTAACAAAACCTTGTGGAAGGTCACGTCAGGTAACCTTTCAGCGACCTATGACCGTCCAATCAAAGGCGAGACGGCCGAACGGATTTAACCAATCAGACAACGCCTACTATTTAGGGTTCGGCGGGAATTGCAAAATGGATTTTCTCGTCCCTGGTCACCAACACTGATCTCCCAACATATGAAAATCTGCATAAAACAATGATATTTGACCTGCAGTATATACGCTTTGGGGTTCCTGTTGACATGGTTACAATTAGCTAATATTTCCGCAAGTTGACATGCTTTAATACTGACAAAACGCTATTTTCAGCAAATGTTTACTCACTACTGTGACGTGCATCTCTAGGAACCGATCGTAAGGAAAATACCATTTGGAATTGTTCGGGTACAAACTTTTTCGAGGTAAAAGTTCAAAAGGTACCCGATATGTGCGAATGTCCACTTTCTCGATTTGGTAAGTTGTGTTCTGATTGGTCAATTGGAAAAGTTTCCTGACGCCACCTTCCACAAGGTTTTGTTAGACTCAATATAGCAGTGTAACAAATAATACTGAGTCTAAGTTTACTTAGACTGATTTAGTCGAGGGCTGTTTTTAAAGGACACCACCATTTCAATTTTCCTAAAACATTGTGTCCTGATATTCAAGCTGGTACTGTTTACAACATATTGAGAGCTGACACTTGTGTGACCATTCAGTGTTTAGTTTGAACCCTTGGCATCATGTATTAATAAATTAAAACATTAGAATAAGTTATGTCCTTATGATTATGTCATCTGAAAGGGGATGGGTAGTGTCTCCAAAACAAGTTCTTTCAGTCAACATAAAGAGGGGAGTCACTTTAACTTGCTTCTTTATGAACTGTAATATCTAAGTGTGAGGCTAGGGGACTTCTATCAATCTCAAACACACAAATATTTCTTGCATATTTTGTTTCCTGAAGTTTTTTGACGCATTTATTAAAGATTTTGCGTTTTTTGTGGGTACCAAGATAAAAGGTCAAACAAAATGGTTATCGTGAGACTGGAACATAGCAAAACGAAATTGCTTGAGCTTGACAGATAATATGTAGAAAAATAAAACATAAAAATAACTGCATTTGTATCGTTTTCTTGGTGACTCTACATACTTTTTGATCGCCCCTCGTACATACTGATGCTGACCCAGTCACTAGTCAAATAGATCTGTAAGTACATACCATCATGGTAGGGTAGCCCTGTGTATTGAAGGTTCGGCAAAGGTCGCTGTTGTTGGCATTGGAGCAGTCCACAGCTCCGATAGACAACACCCTCCCCCCAACCTGCAAGGAGAACTAGAACAGTTAGCATTCATTTCCCACACAGGGATATTACGAAATTGTATCTAGGAACAAAGTCTGCATCAAAACTGTAATTTCCAAGCAAAACCAAGACCATAGATGCATTCAAAAACATGTTGACTTCACTGCAAGGATATCTGCATAAATACGACGTAATGAATCACTTCAATCTGTTGAGAAAAGCAGATAAATAATCTTCAACAGGACAGAGTTGACTACACATTTAGATCATGTGGGTTTACACTGAAGATTTCTAATGCTTGAAAGATTTAGTTTTAGTTTAGATTTTATTCCATATTTACATCTTCACATCATGTTTTTTAAGTTACAAAAAATAGACGGAAAGACTACAGAATAACGGATACCTTCCGCAATCTTTCAAAACATTAGAACTGCACAAAAAATGTGCGCAACTCGACTAGAGTTTTTAGTTCTTTGCTATCTTAGTGTAATTACTTTTTTAGCCCTTGGATATCCATTAATATCTTCCTTGCGGTTAGTTAATGAATAGGGTTAGGGTTAGGTAACTTTCCCACGCTCACTCCAAATCCCAGAATTCTTTAGCTCCATTTTTTCAAAGACACCTGCATATTTTATTTGTGATAACTTACCTTTCATTTTCAAAATCGTTGTTTAGCTTCAATAACTGTAAGCTGTTTCAAATAATCCGATTTTAATGTTTACTTTTTATTTTGATGCTCATGTATTTTTTCGAATTTAAAGCTTCTGCTTCCCTGTAACTGTAAGTGTACGTGACACTACACAATATGGCTGGTAGTGGAAGGTATCCAGTATTCTGCAGGTGTACCAAATATACATTGATATATTAATTATCAATCGTTAATTTTCACTGTACACCAAGCATGAAGAAAGTCTGGAATATTCCCCTTGAAATTGATTGTTTATTTTGTCCCAAAAAACAATTCAGCATATATCATATAAGTGTAAGTTATTCTGAACACAGCAACTGTATATGATTATATAGTAAGATAATGTCAATAGGAATAGTTTTAAAAAAAAATATGTCGTCCTTTACCCTTGGCGTAGGTAGCAAATTTCTTCCATGTGGGTGCGAAGTTGATGCAGTGTCCGCACCAGCTGTTGTAGAACTCTATCAACCAAGCATTCTCTTTGTCCAAAAACTGATCGTAGAAATTTTTATTGGTTAAAATCATCACATCGTCAGAAGGTGAATAAAGCCCATTTTTCTTCGTTTGACCTACACATTCGTTAAGAAATATGAATGTCATCAGAAACAGGCAGGCCTTCATCTTCCTGAATCGGACATCGCTCGCTGTCAAACACTGCAAAACGTCAACACTGGCGCTGAACGTGAACCGGTAAGTAGTATTTTCATCACAACTTATATCAGTAGTAGAAACAATTTAAATGTTCTGATCCCAATAATCACAGAGTTGAGATGAAGCTGATTCATATTCTATAAAATATAAATAAATGCAAATATTAATAATTAGTCTGTTGACAGCAGTTGACAATGATAGCATTTTCAAACAAAGAACGTTACCAAATTAAACATTAGTCGTAGGAATATAACATATGCCTTTTTCTGATCTCAGTCGCTGAAGATTTCCAATACAAAGCCACGTGGTAATGTTACGTGCCTCGAGCCACATATTATTAGCGTCATTATTTCCGTGATCACTGTAGGTGATTGATTTGGGTGCAACATGTGTTCCGACGCGGACGAGGAAGCTATAGATTTACCACAATAATAATAGACTTTATAGGTTGACTTGCCTTTTTGAAGCTCGCCAAATGTATTTATTATTTTTTATTACAAATTAATTCATGTATTTATCTTTGTGCAATGGAATTGTAAAATCCGAAGACTTACACGAACAGAAATGCTTTACCAATATATTAAAATGACAAGGTCAGTTTCTAACTTATACTTTTGAAATTTAAAGATTGTTGTAGAATGAAAAGAATAGTCTAGAGCTGTATTAATTTGCTGGTCGTGCTTATGTAGGTCTGCACATAGAGTCTGCAGATATGCCTTTTAAATGCCATGTTCATATCTGAAAAATTTGGTTACATTTACGATTTGGCGCTATTTGTTGTTAAGTTTCACTAGCGCCTCACAAGCAGCTTGAATTATCCAGGGTAATATTGTGTTAACTTATGGCAAGCCGTTTTCACATTTGTTAAGAAATACTGATATATTTAATTAATTTGAAGATATCTTGAATTGAAGAAATATCGAAGAGATATAGATATCTCCATTACAATTCATGATATCATGAATGAATAAGGGATACGTTGAAGCATATTAATCATATCTTAAAAATGAATTGCTGATATCTTGAATTGAATTAGAGATATCTTGAAATAATAGAGAAAATGTATTGAGAAATTACTGATATCTGAAATTGTTTTAAAGATATCTTGAATTGGAGGCGTCAACACCATATTGTCCTTCAAACGTTTTAATGATATGCATAAACACACACACACACACACACCACACACACACACACACACACACACACACACACACACAGAAAACATTTTCCCTGACGAGTCTAACCTTTGGACTTCATGATACTCCAAAATCCTGGATCGGCCCCTGTCCTTTCTCATGTTCCCGCCTGATGGCAATCTACCTCACGCACATGGTATCATTTCCACAATGTTGGTCTTACCTAGTAACCGTCCACTGTAACCCTATCCCCGCTCCCCACTCTAAAGGACTAGACAAATAGTGCTTTAAAAATGACTGTTCCAGAAAATGTATAGGTGTATTCAAGAAAGACGCCTGAAGCTATAGATATTCATTAATACTGACTTACAACCATTCTTTAAATGGTATTGTACGTCTGTTATATCCGAGTTATGACGCCCGGAGAGCAGAAGGTCGCGGGTTCGATCCCCGACCGCGTCATACCAAAAGACGTTATAACAGATACTTGTTGGTCCCTGCCTGGCGCTTGGAATTAATGGGTACAACAGGGACTGGTCGGCTCGGAGTCAGTATAATGTGTCTGAGTGGGGTATTCATGCTTTACTACGGCATGGTATCTCATTGGGCGAACACTATAAAACCAGCTTAAGTCTGGGCTAGTACAAGCAGCCACACATACACACGCGAAATATTCACAAGTACGACGTTAAACCCCATTTCACCTCATCTGACCTCTGGACAGCTGTCCTGCGATCCATGCAGCGTGAAGCTAATATAGTCTGTCTCACAGTCCCTGAACCACATTAATTTCCCTACTGCCAAGCCCTCTCTGCAGTGCTAAAGCCCTAAATAAAGCAAGTCTAGATTTCCTCAGGTTCTGAATCTCTGGTCTCCCTAGGGCTCCTTTTCAATATAAATGGGCCCGTTTGTTACTATCAAAATTATATATATTCAGAGACTAAGCCTTAGTCTAAAGCTAGTACTACAAGGCGGGATACTAAATAAACCACTTCCCACCATCTGGTACAAGCAGCCACACATGCTAACACATGCACGTCATCATATGAGTGAAATATTCTCAAGTACGACGTTAAACCCCGTTTCACCTCACGTCCGAGTGACGAGAGCTGGCTGAATTTGATGTCTTAGTCACTATACAACACTGATTTCCTATTCCACAGTGTCATTATACCGGGCAGATTCATTATACCGGGCAGTGTAATTACAGACATAACATATACATATTGACTGGAACTTTCCAGAAAATGGTGACAATATTCGTTTTACCACTTAGGACGGAAGGGATTCCTGAATATTATATGAAACTCAGAAATGAAACATTTACACATATTTTAGTAGTCTGTCATACAGACCCTGAAGCAAATATATCCAAGAAATCCCACGCGAGTCTAGAAACTGTGGCAAGTCAAGATTTCCACAGCTTCAGGAATGAAGAAAGTCTCAGGGCTTCTTTTTATTATATTTTGTTCTGTTTCACTATGAGCCTTTTTTCTGTAAAATATGTTCATTTCAGAGACTAGTTTTTCGTCTAATATTTTAGGTAAATACCAGGAAACCAATTGGCTCGAGAGATGGTTTATCAGTTCATTTATATCAGACCCGTGAAGATCCGGGATAGAATAGGTCTTCAGCAACCCATTCTTGTCATAAAAGGCGACTATGCTTGTCGTATAAGGCGACTAACGGGATCGGGTGGTCAGGCTCGCTGACTTGGTTGACACATGTCATCGGTTCTCAATTGCGCAGATCGATGCTCATACTGTTGATCACTGGATTGTCTGGTCCAGACTCGATTATTTACAGACCGCCGCCATATAGCTAGAATATTGCTGAGTGCGGCATAAAACTAAACTCACTCACTCACTCATTTATATCACGTTTTTCATGTACTACTGGAAGACATGTATGGCGGACATATCGCGGGTGTATGTTGTCTCTGACGTGGTCTCGTGAGACTGAGTAGTGAGGCAGTCGACCATACCACTCCACAGCACTAGTATAGTTCCAACATACGTCATATTTTCCTCCAGCTTATATAAATAAATGTGACGTCCCAAGACTATAATCCGTCTATGTCAATTTGCGCTTGATTGCCAAGTGTTATGTACTGAGCATTAAGACTACATGCCCAAGTAACCATTACTCCATGATTACTTCTTTGATTGGCATTCTAGAAGTTGAGGAGATGAAGAATGAGGACATTTTTTATGGACATACAACTTCTTTATTCTGTATAGGTGACGTTTCGAAATAGATTCTAATGTCGTTGTCCTCATTCTTTACTCTATGATTGTTTGAATAAGAGACAACCGAACATACATCGCTCTTAATGTTATAAATTACAGCCTTTACACATAAAAGAAAAGAAAAGAAAAGAACAAAGATATTACCTACCTAATCCCCCCGTACTTTCGCTCCCCTTACCGCTTCTTTCAAATTTCAAAATTCAAACAAAATTTTAATTACGCAGCCCAAACACCCCCTTCAGTTTAGCCTATCTTTCAGTCATAATCACCCCACTTTGGATCAAACGCAAATGGCCTGGCGGGCTCGAGTGCGAAAGACGCAACAGGTCGGAAAGCGCACGTAAAATCACTGATGAGCCACACCGAATAAAGACTGGACACGATCTTTAGTTGAAGGTGTCATTTGTTTGATATTTAATTAGGATTAATTAAGAAGGAATTAATTAGGAAGTACCCACTGTTACGTCTAAACACTACTGATAAAGGATTATAGTTTCGAATCAAAACATACTGAGAATCCAGTGAGGGTTTTGTGTGATCACATGACTAGCCTGTGATTGTTGAGTTGTTCCGATTGTTGAATAAATCCAACTTTTGTATCATTCAAGATGGTCACTGTAACTTGAGCTGTACCGTTTGTGATTGCGATCCCTGTGAGTAAAATGTATATGCAAATAAACATACATGAAATCTACTTTTTGTTTTGTTTTCTTTCATAGTGATATGTGATGATATGCCCCGGTCGGATGTCTCGAAGTTCGGATAACTCGATATTTATTCTTGGTCCCATGAATATCGAGACAACGGTGCTCGACTGTAATTGTAGCGCTAAGATTGTTCTATTCAAGTGGGCCCTGGTGACGCTTCTCTTGATTATTTCAAGGTAAACCATGTATGTTCTTAAATTATGTGACCCGTGAAGATCCGGGGTAGAATAGGTCTTCAGCAACCCATGCTTGCCACAAAAGGCGACTATGCTTGTCGTAAGAGGCGACTAACGGGATCGGGTGGTCAGGCTCGCTGACTTGGTTGACATGTCATCGGTTCCCAATTGCGCAGATCGATGCTCATGCTGTTGATTACTGGATTGTCTGGTCCAGACTCGATTATTTACAGACCACCGCCATATAGCTAGAATATTGCTAAGTGCGGCGTAAAACTAAACTCACTCACTCACTCTTAAATTATGTTCCTATTTTCTTGTTTTCTGTTGTTTTCTATGTTGTCAGTTGATTTTAATATCATCAACATTTTAATTACACACTATTGATTAGGTAGGTACACCAGTGAATGTATTTTTATAGTTGGGTCAGGCCATGTAGCACTAATCTACTCGTGGTTTAAAACCAGGCGTTGGCTTCTTGCTTTCCATATGATCATCTCTGATGAAATATACCACAGGCATATGTATGTGTGTTTAAAAAAGTGTTGTGGTATTTTCTCGATTTTGAACTCGTGAAGATCCGGGTTAGAATTGATCTTCAGTAACCCATGCTTGTCGTAAGAGGTGACTAACGGGATCGCATAGTCAGGCTCGCTGACTTGGTTGACACATGTCATCGTATCCCAATTGCGTAGATCGATGCCCATGCTGTTGATCACTGGATTGTCTGGTCCAGACTCAATTATTTACAGACCGC